GAAACACTGGTTTCTGTTGTTGCACTTGCACAGGATGAGTGGTTTTGAATGTAGGTGCAGCTGAAATTTAGAAAGGACACTGTTAACCAGTCTGAGTTCTAAAGGTCGAGCAAAAGTAAGGAAACTAATAATAAAAACTGTTGTCAGTGCATATTTAACAAATTAATTCAGAAAAAAACTCAACTTAACCTAGGGGGTGTGATCCTTTGCATAGGATAAGGATTGAGGTCACGCGTTTATGCCTAACACATGGTCTTAACAATCAGTTGTGGTTTGGTTCTTATGCATTTCTGATCTCGGGTGTTGTCTTGAAGCACAAAACCTGCGATTTTGTCGGCGGCACACTTGTCACCCACAGCCCTTCTGTTTCTGTTGGTTTTAATTGGACTGCAGGACTAAATCCAGTTATCTGATTAGCTGTAGTGTTGGTGGATCAGTGGTTGTGGTTTGATATGAATCAAAGGGCTTTGAGCTTTTGAGATCTTTGCAAAAAAGTAAAGAGTTTCTTTCAAAATGTAATTTATTTGGTTTTATCCTCAGAATCATGTACAGAAAGGATTAGTTATAAATGAATAGCTTAGTTCTATTTTTTAACTAACACAAAGCAGCTTAGATTTAATAGATTGTGAAGTGAAAAGAAAACAGAGATAAGCAAACAATAACATCAGAGTGGGGGTTCATATTACTAAATGATTACACAAGAGAACAACTTCATATGTTCATCCATCATGCTGCTATTACCATCATTTGCCACCAGATGTCTCTAAAGTCTAACAGTCTCCTGTTTGGACTTCTTGATGTTTGTTGAAGCTCAATCAAAATCATCCCTGGAAACTAATAAATATGAACAACATGGTGGCTAGTTTGTCGCTCAATTGAAGGTTTCAAGAAATCTGAATGGATGAGTCTGTGGTTCCCCCCTAGACCCCAATGATCACATCATCAGTGTGTCTGTCTTCATTGATTTTTTTTGTGTATTAGAATAGTTCAGTTTGGTTATTTTTGCGTTTTTTTTTTTTTTTTTTAAGAGTTGCTGAAATGCAGGAACTTAACAAGTGAGTGAATGAAATTAGAGAAAGACCTAAAGAGTCTGTGTTAATGTGAGGAATAGTTCACTTAGATTAACTGACAACTTATTTTCCTATTTGCCTTTAGCTATTTACCATTGACCATTTGAAAATATAAATTTCATCTAAGAATCTCTCAAAGTTCTGTGGAAAGCATTGCAGTCTGATGAACTGGGGACCTCACTTCACTTAGTTGAGAATTATGGCTGGATTGTATTCCAAAGACTGTCTCCGATCACTTAGAGCTGCTCTTTGGCTACCAGTCCATCTTGATGACATCTGAAACGTCATCACAGATTCTTTGTCTGTTTAATCTTGTCTGTTTGATCCCTTGTCTGCTTAACAGTTGTCCTATGGACAGAGCCACCTATGGAGCTAGTTAAGTTACCGTATTTTCTGGACTATAGTGCGCACCTCACTATAAGTCATGACCACTAAATTATTTTTAGAAACTGGTAACGGACATATATAAGCCGCACCGTGCTAGTAAAAAATAATCAGAAGCCGCTGATATCTACTGAACTGTCTCTCACCAAACCTGTAGGGGGAGCTCTACATATAGCCCCTGGAGTAGCGACAAAGAAGAATGCTAGCTCCCGTTAGCTTGTTGCCTCGCAGCAGTAAGAGCTTCTACTGAAAGATGGGGCTTTGTCAGCTCTTTATTTCAGCTCTGGAGGAGTTGAGCTCAGTCTCTTTATTGGCTCAGAAGCTTTAGTGAGGTAAATAAATGGCAAAATGTGTGAATTCAGGACATTTGTTCTCCGTCATGCCTGCTGCTAGCATGTTTTTATGAGAAATGAAAATTAGCCCCTTATTTTTTCATTGTCAAGTTTGACTCCCCCCTCTGGCAGTTAGGAAAAATCCATAGAAAAGCCACACCTTCTTATAAGCCACATGGTTCAAAGCATGGGAAAAAAAATAGTGCCTTTTAGTCCGGAAAATACGGTACCTTTTCTAACAGCTTCTTTGTTCCTCTTGTATGTCTGCTTCTCTCTCCTTGAACCACAGTTGGCCTCTGCAGAAGGCTGCTCACATTGAGCCTGGTTCTGCTGGAGGTTTCTTGCTGTTAAAAGACAGTTTTTCCTTTCTACTGTTGCTGTATGCATGCTCGTTTTGAGGGTTTGCTGCAGATTCAATGACATGATGCAAGCGAATGTCCGTTGTTGCTGCATCCTAATCCAGGAGGAGCAAATCTTTTAAAGTTAATGAATCAATGCAATGAGTTTGATTTCAACCAACCTGTCTGTATCCTTTGACTGACCTGACTTTGTACAGTGCCTTGGGATGACATGTTGTGCACTGGTGCTATAGAAATAAACCCTGAAACCTCTGGGCCAGAGGGGAAGAAATAACCCAAGTTAAGCGCAACCGAATTGGGCCAGTTTTGCTTTCTAGAGAACAGGAAATCATAGAGAACACAGAGTAAAAGGCGGCAAAACGTCATCAACGTCCTTAGAAGGAGATTTTGGAGAATTCGAAACAGGTAAAGCTAAAACTAGATATAAAATATTTACAGTGATTTTTTTCCTTCCTTAATGCAAAGTGTGTCTAATTTTTTAATAACTATTTCAATGATTGATTAATCATGAATTATCTGATTAATTGTTTCAGCCCCGATTTAGACCAATAGCTCCAAAATCAGTGGCTATTGATATAAATTACAAACCACTAATAACCTATAGAGGTTTTTAATAACCCAAAAAGAAACAGGCCAGTGTCGAAAGGTAAATATTTTCATTACCATCATTAATGATCTTCAACATCCTATTTTATACAGATCCACGTAGAGTCCATTTTTTTTTGTCTCCATGTTTCTGTTTAGTTCTTGCCTCAGTTTCGGTTATTTTCTTTTCTGACATTGTTTCTATTCTGTTTCATCATCATCATCCTCATCATGGCCTTTGTGTCTTCAGGGATGAGGAGGAAGTAAAACCTCCCCCAGCTTCGTAAGTACCTCAGAGTCCGATACACTCTTTAAAAACCCTGTCCTGGCCAAACCTCCTTTCAGTTTCCCAACCTGACAACTCAAATCCCTCGGCAATGATTCTTCCTGTCGGCTGATTGTCTGTGTTACCCGGACAGGTGGAATCCCTTCTCAGGGTTCAGTCAGTTGGTCAATAATGTTGCAGCCAATGTGTCCGAAGTTCTGCAGGTTAAAAGTCCCACTGACAACGGGTCGCAGACGTGAGTAAAACCGAGAAGGTGAACTGATCGCAGGCTCTAGAGCAGTCAATGCAGTGAAAACATACCACCATTTTTAAATAATGCAGTGCAGAAAAAGTCTCCATCCATGAAATATTATAGCTAATGGAATATAACAACAGAACGGTGGGAAAAAGCTGTATAGCAGTTACTCAGATCAAGGTGAAGATTAAAGAAGTAACTGCATGACATCACTGTCTGACTCCTCTTGTGATTTACAGGAAGTTACATCAACAGTTTGAAATGTATAAAGACCAGGTCAAGAAGCTGGGGGAGGAGCCTCCTGCAGCTCAAACGGCGAGGGCGGAGTCTCCCACCTGTGGCATCTGTCACAAAACAAAGTTTGCTGACGGCTGCGGCAGAGCCTGCTGCTACTGTCAAAGTCGTTTCTGCGCTCGCTGTGGTGGGCGTGTCCCTCTACGAGCCAATAAGGTCAGTCAGAATGGATTACATACACTACATATAAAGTCATACATTTTTTTTTTCTCTGTCAGACATTAAATCTAAATGAACCTTTCCTATCTTAGGTCTTTTAAGATTAACACAATTATTCTATTTTCTAAATGGCAGAAAATATGTGTATGTTTCGTTCTGGTGTATGTAAACCTTTGGTTTTAATTGTATGTCAGACTTGTACAAATCAATGTTAAAGGGGTTTAAGGTAGGAAATATAGAATATAAATTTTTGTGATGGTTTCCTTCATCTATTAAAGTCTTCAAAACATATATAATATATATATATTATTAGCATGATGTTCANGGTCAGAATTACATCATTCTAGCCTCCTCACCCCTCCACATGGTGTTCATGTGTACAGATTTTTTCAAAAAGATTCTTTGAAAGTTTACGGTCCATTCTGTACAATGATTAAATGTATCGATTGTAATGTTGATTTAAGCTAATAATGATTACATTTTAAAGGTAATTTTATGATTCAAAGGTGATTGCAGTTTGCTGCATTACATAATTTACTGCAATTAGGTGATGGAAAGGCTCATTGGAGGATGGGGGGGTTTGTGAAGGCACAAAAATCTTCTTTTAAACCAAAGGGGGGCCCATCAGTTAGGTTTTCAAAACACAGATCTATCACCTAAAATCTTACATTGTTTTTTGAAATGCAAACTAAACTTGTGTGTCTGTGTGTTGGCCTTGTCTTTTAGGTAATGTGGGTGTGCAACGTGTGCAGGAAGCAGCAGGAGATCCTAACCCGGTCTGGAGAGTTTTACCCGAATGCGTCCCCTCCACACGCACCAATACAGGGAGCGCCGGGGCCCATGGGGCCCCTGAGTAACGGAGCTACAGATCAGTAAGTGTAATGCAGAACTTTAAAGAGCTCTCATCTACAGGCAAGATTTTATTTCTGATTGAGAATCACAAATGATTGCCCTTAAAATGATTCCGGTTCTGGTGCTAAGAGACTGTTACGAAAGACCAATACAGTTTCACCTTTTGAAATGGTTAAATCTGGGCAGCACCACTAAAAAACATTGACCACAAATGTATTTAACGAATAAACATCTCTGTGGCTAAAAATCTAAAAGTAACAGCTTTCAAGGATCTATTTAATTTTTAAAGAGTTTAAAATTTAAAATGGAAACGAAAAAAACGTATATGTCACGATAAAGCTGCAGTAACAAGTCAGAAAAGTGGAAATGAAATATTTACAAACAATTATTAACATTTTTTTTGCTTACTAAAAAATCTACAAAGATGACCACTTAACCCCCAATTTGGTCTGCAGGTTATTTCTGCTGAGTCAGTTAAATACAGACTCATCCTTTGACATCTGACTCTGTCATAATTAGATCACATCATTTACTACCAGCCCCCCTCTCCCACACACAGACTGTACCTGCTTTCCAAAGCCCGCCCCCCTCCACCCGCCCATCAAACATGCACAGCCCCCAAACAAGGACTCAAACACACATGCTAATCAGATTAGCTGAATAATAATCCCGCAGCTCACTGGGGATTATTTCCACTGCTAAATACAGCAGGCTAACACACACAGGCTAACAGGAGCTAGTACTGGTGATGTAATATCGTCAGGTTAGAGTGAGATAGAGGGCGCTGAGGAGGGGCGTGTCATGACACGGCTTGGGGCGGAGCATCAGTTTGTACTCCAGCTGTCAGTTATAAACCTGCTGAGTGTGTGTTAATGTGTGTCAATGTGTCGTGTGTTTAACCGGCACATGAGGCTCAGTCCGCACTCAGAAAAAACAGAAAGCTCTTTTTTTACACCTCTGACCAAACCCATGTTTCAAACTCAAGCTTTGGCACAAACTGTTTTAATTGGCTGAAATAAGCATGTCATTGCGTCTTCCTGCATCTGCATGACAGGTGTGTTAGTGCAGACTGACAGGACACGCTAACCGCATGTAAGTACGCCTCTCAGACATTCAGTTATAACTGATTTGTTACTGCAGTACTTTAATTTGTAGTTAGAGAGTTAATGAGATTCTGGATGTGGTAGTAAATTTGGTTCTATTGATGGAATTGTATTTTAAATGTCGAACAGTTTAATATAAAATCAAAAAGTAAAATAACTCCTAAGTGGTGACATAAACGTGGATGTAAGTTTGAGTTTTTGTCTCACTGGGGCCCGTTTACCTTTGACACTGGTCAGGTACCTTAAAAAGCTACCTGAGTTTTATTGTGGACCAAATTAAGTGGGTTGCAAATTTTGAAATGCAGAAATATAGGATTAATTAATTTCTCTATTTCTCTACATTTGAAAATTGTTTAAAGTTGTAACAACATTGACAAAGGACTCAGTTTTAAATCTATGGATATTACCATAGAAAATCCTTCACAGGTCTAGATAAATATGACAAAATAAACATCTATGCAGGTTTTTCTGTGATTGGTTTACTGGCTTGGACTAGTAAAGCTTTTTTCATTGGTTTTAGCAAGGGAAACATCAGGATGTTAAGAAGCCTAATGTTAGCCTTTCAAAATCAGTTTTAATGTGTTTTCTGGATTTTGTCCTGTTTATATCCAAGTCTTTGATCATCTAACCTAAAGTGTCCAAATTATCTAAAAAGAAAGCAACCCAAGAACCACCAAGCTCATCATAACTCCTGGAACATGAGGGCCTTTGTCATGTGGAGGGAGGACAACAACATCATCTTAAATCTAAAATGAAATTTGCAGCTGCCCAAATGGAGACGATAAAAGTCTTCTGAAGAAGCAACATCCAGATGAGACAATAGCTAACAAGTGTTGTTAATGTTATTGTCATTATAATGACAAGCAAGCAGTAGAAGGACAGTGATCCCAAACACATTAAAACTGCCTACCATCATGGCTTCAGTGATCCCAAATGTGTATGAACTACTGTTTCGCTAACGCTGTGTGCCCGACAGGAGGCGGAGCCCCTCGTATTACGATGGTGGCGGCAGGATGCCTCGCTCGCCTTCTGACCATGGTCTGGATCGCCGCACCCGCTCGCTGCACAGCTACCATGGCAATGGCGAGGAGGAGCTACGCGTCCAGAGGCGACCAATCAAAGACAGGCGAGGCCGCTGGCACTCACAGGTGAGTCGGTCAAATTTGAATACTCCCCAATTTGTGTCTTCTTCTTTATATAGTAAAGCCCAAAATTATTCATACCTTTAATAGATTTAGATGTAATGTTATTTTTTTTAAATTTCTTTCTGAAATGAAACAGGTAAATTTAAAAATGTAAAACTTATTCATGTCCTTTTCAAAAATCAATTACAGGATTTTTAAAGGCACACCATGTAACTTTTGCGCACTAGGGGCGCTAGGCGTGAAAGTTACAGGTCTAGCGCCCTTAGTGGCCACAATTGCCACAGTACTGTAGCAAAAGTCAACAGTCAGCCGGCCAGCTTTTGATTGGGGACAGCGCTAGGCATCTAGGTTCAGCAGGGCATGAGAAAACGCTGTTGCTCTCTGGAGAGCACGGCTGGGCTAGGCCAGACCATGCCACATGGCGCAGAGGACCAGGGGCACAGCGTTAGTGCAGAGCCGCTTGGTTGGACGAGGCGTTCTTCCAGTTCACAGGACCTGACCAACGATGGTGCAACTTCACCCAACTTACATAGCCAGTTTTTCAACAGAAGAGCCCCGATTGTAGCATTGATTGTGTCAGAAGAGCTGTATATTGGCCTGAAGAATCATTTTAAATAACTCATATGCATCAACTCTGTAGGTCACAAATTCCACGGTACCTCTAATGGCAGTACAGTAAAGCAATCATTATTATTGCTAATCGGCTTTTTAAATGACTCCAAAGATTGTAAATGAGTTCCAAGGCTATAAGGTCTGAAAGCCTCTTTACCATCACCCTAATTTAGACCCAAACTGGGCACCCTCAGATGACATCACTTTGAGTCTAAAGAAACATAATGGTGAACTGACTAAACTAATTACAACTATGAATCTACCAGGAGCATTGATAATTTAGATCTTTACTACACTTCCCTAATAGCTAGGAGTAAGAAACATTATATAACTGTTCCCAGATGTAATATTTGCAGTCTTTCTATTAAAAATTCTATTTGCATCATAATTATAAGATTAATTAACATATTGCTTTCAACACTTGTAAAAAAAAATGTCACTTTTATCTGACTGTTACCTTACTTTTGACCTTATTGATCTAGATCACCATCTGCATTCAGGAATTTTTTGAAAGATTTTGTGAATACAGGTTTTATCTTAAGATGGGAGTCTCAGTAAGTAGCTACTTGGCGGATGTATGCGCTCTCTTAGTGCTTTTATAGTTGACTTATTTTCTAGCATCCAGACCTTATGTCTGGATGCTAGAAACATTTTAAAGCTTAAAACTTGAGTTATAACCACACTACTTCAGAACTGAAGGCTTTGTTGAAAAAAACACAGTAAAGTGTTAGAATAAAGTGTTTTTTTTTATTTTAGACGCAAATAAATTTTAAATCAGGAAATAAAAACCTTACCATTGTTACTAGCTTGTACCTTACCCAGCTAAATTTATTCCAGGATTAATTCCTTAGAGACTTGGAGAGACAGATTTATTTTGAAATTTAATTTAAAACAGCTCTAGACAATATAATTTTTTTTAAATGCAGCCTTGAAAAACAGTAATTATAGATGTTATAGATAGGTGAAGATGTTAATTATAGATGATTATAGGTGAATTATAGTAATGATAGATTAATTCCTCTATTATAAAAAAAAATATTCTCCACCAGTTAGCAACCCAAACCTTTTCATAAATAATAGAAGAATTATGTCAGAAAGGATCAGCTTTGCAGTTTGAAGCCTTTTTCACTTTCCCTCAGATTATTGATATAAAGAAATGTTATTAATGTATTTAGTATAAAGTTCGCAGCCAGAATTAGTCCGGAGGCTGCTTTACATATGTAATCCTTGGAAAGTCAATAAGAAACAAGAAATAAAATAAAAAGATAAAAACAAATGGGACATTTTTATTCATTATTATTCTTAAAATCCTTCAGATTGAGTTATTCCATATTTTTTGCCAGGATTTGTTGGTATTATTAAGCGGAAGTATAACTCCATGCTGATGTATATTCAGAAGATAAAGTTTCCATAAACATATAAAAGGTTTTACCGTTTTTCAAAATGTCTTTAGGCCTAATCTATGCAAAATATGTAATCAAACTATGCACTAGTTCGAATGTCATTAAATGCTAAAACTGGATGACTTGTTATGATGCTAAATAGGAAGGTAACTGAACTGTATTTTTGCAGAGCTTGATTCTTGACCTTTTCTCTTTTCTTGATCAGGACCATCCCTTGGACCCGGTTCTTGTGGACCGTGAACTTCGACGTCGGCAAGAGGAGGAGTTTCAAGCACGCTACCGAAGTGACCCCAATCTGGCTCGTTACCCGGTGAAGCCACAGCCGAGCGAGGAGACCATGAGAATGCTGGCTCAGGTGGGCAGGGTCCGCCACCAGCGTCGGCACAGCGACGTCTCCCTGGCCGCTGCAGAACCTGAACACCTTAACTTGAGACACTCAGGTAACCAGTCATCAGATTCCCCTATTGGTGGTGTCGCACTTTGCCCTGACCATTTTTTTTTTTGCTCCTCAGCTGTCCGCCAGAATCGACCTCAGGGAATTATGGGGTCTGGAAGTCAGAGGTCATTCTCGGTTGACAGGGCGTCTAATCACCTCAGCCCTACGTCTCCACGCCGCAGCCCTCTGCCACAGCAGCTCCTGGACCCAAGCTCTGCCCTTAAGAGGAAACCCGCGAACGAGAGCATGGCGCAGAGAGGGAGGATGATGGGAAAAATGCATGTTATTGGTAGCTTCAGCAGTTCAGAGGAGGAGCTGCTGACCACACCTGAATACACCAGCTGTGACGAGCCTGACAGTAAGTGCTACATTTTCTGGAACAGACATTTAGTGTCAGACAAACCTTGAGTCGCTGATGCATTTACGTATCTTTAATGAAACATCCAGGTTACTTTTTGCTGCATCATCAGGTCTATCTTTCTACATTAACTCCAACCTGATCATCTTGGGCTGAGAGTTTAATGCTCTATTCAGAGTCTACGAATACCTCCAAGTGGTCAAATAATTATTTGGCAATCTAGTCAGAAGACAGGACTGTGTCAGACACTTAAGGCATGTGAGGATGAGCATCTTCTTATCATTGGTGACATCGAGTTAAGATGGAGAATGAGTCAAATCAGTGACAGAACCTTAGAGAAAAAATATTAGTGGACTAATTTGTTTTTAAGAGGTGGACTAAGTAACCTGTTTTACCTTGAATTTTATGCTAGTTACTCGCCAGTCAGAAAAAAACAAATAACAATGAAATGTTACACAAGTAAACCACAGAAGAAAAATAGATTGTTTAAAATAAAACTACATTTTTTGCTGCAACATGTACCAGCTTTTTATTTTGGCGTTAGACACAAAGAGCCAGTGAGTAAAACTTCAGCAGATGGAAGTTAAGCTGAACTTATTACAGCAACGTTGCTAAAATCAGTCTGGATTTGGGAGATTTCAGCAGCCTTTTAGAGTAAAGTTAAGCCCAAGTTCTCTTGGGAACACACAAAGACACGACTGTTCACTATTCACAATGCAAACTACATTTACTTTGCTAATCTCTAAGTTAGCTAAAATCTTTTTCCACTCGGCAGTCTGTGGATGAAAGGTGCGGTACGGACTGACAGTCCATTGCTGACACTAAAATCTTTGAGTCTGTAATGATCTGATACCTAAAGACTTTTTGTAGAGTAATAATATCTCAAAAATGTAGTCTGAATGCTGTTGATTTGTTTTTTCTTAAAGAAATAACAATAAGTTAAAATTGTTAACAACAGGTTAAAGCCTGATGGTAAACCAGTAAGAAAACTGATCAATTTAATCTCCTTTACTTAAGTCATTTCACACAAGTGGCTGATGTTTGTTGTAGGTTTAGCTTATATATTATCATGATATTGCAACAGTTGTGCCACAGAATTAGTCCAGAAGCTGTGGAAGCCTGTCCTGGCTGGAAATCTTATTACATTTGTTTCAGTCAGAGGTAGGTGGGTCGTACACAGGAATTATTTCTGAGTTCTTAAATTGAAGAGAATTCACCAAGACACAGGTAACATTTGCTCCATCTGTAAAAGGATTAAACATTACTCTTTTAAATGGGTCTGAATTCACAGCTATATAAAGTAATAGTTATCTGCTTAAAGGTCCACAAGAGGATAATTCCTTTTTAAAGATTTTATTTATTTGGCACTAGTGGTTTTAATTTGAAAGGGGGGCAGGAAATATGAGGCTCTGAGTTCGAGCCCCACTCCCACAGACTGGCACTCTGGCTCTCTGAGCAAGACCCTTAACCCGACACTGCTCCCCAAGGGGATGGGTTAAATGCAGAGGTAAATTTATTCAATGTGAGATCAATAGATTAATTATTATTATTGTTATTTATTCATTGTCACACATTTTATTCCTGTTCCAGCTTTTTCTAAACTGGATCAGGACAGCATAGACGACCAGATCAGAAATAATATGGTGAAAAATATGGACTTAACTTTCACTTCAAGTATTTATTACTCTGAAACTGTCATTTCCCTCTTACTTAAAATATCCCTTTTCAGCTCAGAGTTTAGCAAAAAAGCTCTTTTTTTTAAGGAAGATTATTTTAACTCAGCCTTAAGAGGTTCTAGTAGAAGTAGTTCTACAGCACCATATGTGTTATTATTGTTATTATAAAGTATCACAGTTTTGCTTACTCTACTCATTATAAGTAACTTTATTGAATGAACAACAATCTTATTTTAACCCATAATTCTCCAAACACACAGTTAAAAATCTTGATATTGTTTTTAATTTTTAACATAGAGATAAAATACTTTATGCAGTGGAATCAACTACCTTCAGAAGTCACTTAAATAAGTAAACAGAGTAGTACAGCTGTTCTTGGAAGCTCCAACGCCTTGTTAGAAAGCATTAGAGAACAGAAACATCATGAAAACCAAGACAGGGCCAGACACCTAAACCGACCACCTGAAAGTGGAACAAAGAAAAGACATGTTAAAATCAAGGCAAAAGAAATCCCATTTAAACTTTGCTATAAGCCCTGTAAGGGATACATAAATGTGAGGTTTCATTTCAGATAGAATCTAAATTAAACCTGACCTGTTTAAAACTGACTGGTAAAACATGGTGGTGGCAGCATCATTGCTGGGAGGGGATATCATTTTTAACAGGAATAGAAATTATGGTCAATGTTAACCAGCTCAACACTATGTGATCACAACCGTTTTAGAGGCTGCATTCTTTGAGACTGGGGCAGACCTTTAGCTTCCAGCAGAACGGCCATCTCTTGAGCCGCAGTGGAACCATTTAGATTCCAGTATACTCTTGTATGAAAATGACCCAGTCAAACCAATAAAACCTTACATTTATTTTGCATTTTTAGATTTTTAGGCACACAGATCAGTCTCAAATGTTTATTGATATGCTAGCTTTGTGGTTTCTGTGTGACAAATGTGGAGCTGTTAAAGGTGGGAATGAATTTAACCAGAGGGACTGTTACTGGAAACCATATGGATTAAACCCATGTGACACAAACGGGAAGTAAACCTGCAAAATCAATTGGATGGGGATTCATTTAGTGAACCCTCACCTAATAAACCCAAAGTCATGTTTTAAGCTTCACTTTAAGCTCCTTTAATATTTTGTTGAAATATGCAGATTTTTGCTTTATTGATTTACTAATGTAGACAGCTGACAGGAATGACTACACTAAAAGACGATATTTAGTATTTAATAATAAAAAAAAAACTAAATTTTATTTAAATGTTCTGAAAAATGATAGAGTAAATTGTCAGCTGTGATTAAATTAACATAGAACACATTAGTTATATGCATGTTTTATTTTTGTTATAGAAGAGACTGAATGAAATAGAAATGTTCTTCTGCCCTCTAGTGGAACTGTGAAGCCTTTTGCTGTATTCCTGGAACTTCTGGCTTTCAGTCTGATATCATGAGTTTTCAGGCTTTAAACTTAGAAACAATACAGGAAGGAGGGAGAGTTGAGCAGGAGACACTGTATGTGTTCCCTGCGCCTCTGACTTAAATGAGCTCAGTGTGATAATCTTCTTACAGCTGAATCTGGCTTCACCTCCAACCAGCTTCACCTGCACTTCCTTAACCTCACAACAGAGGGTTCCAGAGAGACTCGCTTTTTTCTTCCCTCCAACTGCTTCATGTTTTGGTTCTGTTTTTTCTTTTGTGGGGTTCTACATTAGAGGACTTATTTCAGGCTTAGTGTAGTCCTATGACATGAGGGATTGGCCATTCAATTTTATGTTTAGTTTTTTTTTTTTCCTGGAGTCCCACCAAATCCCTCCACTTGATTATATAATGAAGAGGTTGGTCTCTCAGTGACTGGTTCTTTAAAGATCAAATATTATTTTATAATTTCTTTTATTTTTGAGGTTGTTTCTATGTTTCTCTTTTATCATTATCAATTAATATAAAGACTCAGCATACATATATGTATTATCTTTAGTCCTGCAAAAAAAAATGTAATCACATTCTACTGTTTTAATAATACTTAATCTTTTTAAGAAAAGATGCAAGAGTGAATGCTGCCAATTGTGGTTTTAAAATAGTTTCCTCTTTTTTTAGACGACACCACATCTCTACAAGTGCAGTTGTCGGGTGACCCGACACTTACAAAAAGGCTGAATTTGTTTTTCTAGTGAGCAGGGGAAACATTTTCTAGCCTTTTTGCACCTTAACCGCAGTGCACATCAACAATTAGGAGGGGAGAAAGGCAGGGCTAGTTGATGCTCAATGCTGATGCTAAGGACCTTTTCAAACCTTTGTAACTTTAAATTAGTAAATAAAACTAAAACAGGACCTGGTAAACAGATTTCAGATTTTTTTTAAATTGTGGATAGCATCTGCCTTGAAGTTGTCTTTAATAAGGAGAATTTAACCTCCTTACTGCACAGTGCAGAATCATTGTTGCTTAGACGGTTGTTGACCAAAAGTTTCACACAGTGGGTAATACCACCAAACCAGGAACTTGGAATTTCAATAAATGCTTTTGCACTGTTTTTTCAGCTTTGCAGAGCTTTCCCAGTGATAATATGCTGGGTTTTTTATGTTTGCTGTTTTGTTATGATTCCGTTGCTTTGTAGTACTTTAGAGCCCATCTATGTAGATATGTCTCACTACCAAGAACCCAGTCTTACCTCTTTTGATTTCTGACATCATGAATGTCAGCAGTATTCCAGTTCCTGCGTTCTGCAGTCAGGTAATCTTCTATGTCTACGTCTCAAAGCCCAAAGTCATGAGAGACGATGAAGTCTGATTGGCTCCCAGTGACTCCCGGCTCCTCCCATCCAGTTCAGAGGTGATAGATCAGCTCAGACTATACGACGTTGTTTTACTGAAGACACCTGGACTATAGGACATGACGTATAAACCTTCAGCAAACTCGACTGGAATCTCTCCAAAAGCCTGGAAGGATCCTGAAGAACCTGTCTGGTAATCTGGTCCTGTTTGGATAATAACATATCAGCCTGTCTGTTCTGGTGCCGTTGGGTCAGCAAATCACCATCTATGCTCTTGGTCAATTGGATTACAAGGGAAGAGTGTGGATTATCAGGAGTCACTGCAAGAAAACAGGAATAGAAAGAGTTCAAGAGGAGGAAAAAAAAAACGGTGGTCCATCATTCAGTGTGAGAGTGCATTCATACAGGAGGCTGATCAGTGAGGCAGCCTGGAAATCCCGCTGAGCTGGATTTTGGGGAAGTTTCCTGGAAAATCTGTAACATTTCAGTACACCCTTTTGGTCCTAACTCGGTGAAAAGTCAAAGAAAGTTTGCAGAAGTATGAAAATTTTGCTCCTAGCTCACCAACCCGTGAACTAATATAAAAGCAAATAGCAGGTTGACAACAGGTGAAGTTTAACACTGAGCCACAATGCTGTCGCCAGAAGAGAGATGGACTCTGTGTTTGGCCTGAGTTAATCCTGTTACAGACAGGTATGAAATACCCTGCAGCCTGCAGGCAGAGCTCTGGGAAAACTGTGATCCCACACTCAGTGAGGAGGAGGAGGAGGACTGAGGAGCCGCAGGTTCACTTCCTTCTTCTCTTCTTGTGCATCTGAGGCCTCATCTTTTTTCATGGCATCAAAACATACCTGTGAGTACTGCAGGTCTTGAAATGTGGAAGTGAACTGATGTGTCTAAGATGCCTTTTTGTCCATTAATGGCTTCAGACTCTGTTAGTCTACTTTTTTTTTAATCTGTCATTGCTCTTAATTGACTCTTATTTCAACTTCTTTGAATGATGTCAGGCAGAAACATTTAAGAGCCAACTGCAGGTGAACGACAGTGATGCTCTGTGAGACTGAGGAGCCATAAAAGGGGGTTCCTATGTGAAAACCCAGTCAGTTAATGAATTTGATCAGTTTATAAATATTTTACTGTTTTAACTGAAATTATACAGTTAAAAACGCGTTTTTCTTCTATGGAGGATATGGACGAAGCATAGTCTACCTGCTCAAACAGGCTTCAGGACCAAAGCAAATCTATTGACACCCCGACAGCAAGAGAAGTTGTCCATAGTAAAAAGAGATTCACATCCTTGGTGGGCAAAAACTGACTGTGTGCTTTTTATGAGTGAAGTCAAAATGTTCTGTTAAATTTGAGGTTAATCAGGCTGTTTTTTTATCTGGGCATCTAAATTAGAGTTTTCATTAATTCTGTCTTTAAAAAGATGTTTGTTGGCAGTATGAGTTAAAAAGACAGGATTTACTGCAGTATCCATCTTGGATAGTAGAATCTGTTTTTCTGCTTTATTTGTTACATTTCTGGGCAAATGTTTGTGCAAATTTCTGGTCATGCTGACCACAAAACAGGCTTAGATTATTGCTCAGTTTAGCTTCTTTCTTTCTAGAGAATGCTTTTCCAATCTCTTTCTTAATATCTGCTGGGAATGACTTGCCCTGTCTTTCCAGATCAGCAGCTGTCCTTCTGACATTATGGCGTCCATAATGGTTTCATTCTGTTCTCTAACTGCTTCACTTCTTTGCATATATTGTTAATGTTGACTGACAAGCATTTAATTTAGTTTATATCAGAGGAAAAAACCTTTTCTGCCATCTAAGTCAGTCCTCCTCTCTCTGCCAGCAGTTACACAGCCAGGCATCTTGCTTCACTTGTATCTCGTGAAATAGACCTTCTTTGTCCATCCAACTCCTCACAGAAGCAGTGTTATTAACTCAACTGTATTGACTTAATTTATATATCATGAACTCATAACATTTAATCCTTTGTTTATTTGGCATTGCCAATGGTGGCACAGCCAGTTTTGTTGTAGTTGGTTCCAGAGGTAACTAATGTTTTGCAGAGTTCCTGGTTTCTGTGTTTGACATCTATTCTTTATTTTAAAACAATTGTGAAATATTCACAGGGCTCTACCTGGTTTGTTGGATCATTAAGCTCCAGTCAAAGAGCTGCAGTTGAAATATTAGCGGTTACTCAGTGGTCCAGTTTTCAAATTAAATGATGTAATTATTGGGGTTGATCTTTCTTCCTTTGACATAAAATGTCTATAGTTTGTCTTAGTATGAAGATTACAAATTTTTAAGCATGGAAAAAGCAGCAGAATATCTTAGGTGGCCTATTCTAAAACATGGACATTAACATATTTCCCCAATACTACTATTTTTATTGCAGTCATTCTCTTATTGTCTTTTTCATCGTTTTACTTAACAACTCTAAATAAAAAATTGACACCAAACAGACACAGAGGGACTATAAAGCCACAAATCAGAGGAGAGACTTATTTAAAAAGAGGAAACAGGACGGTATGTGCAAATTATTGCTTAAATATAACATTGGATTATTTAGATCTATGCTTGCATTTAAAAGCTATAGCAGACTTTAATACAAAAAAAAAAAAAAAACAAACTGAAGTATGATTTCCTGAATTTTAAATGATTGATTTTAATGTTCATTGAGTTAAATATCGAGGTATTGTCTCTACAAAAGAGCTCAAGGTGTTCAATACATTTTTTTCCAGGAGACATGGAGAGCCAATGGTGGGATTATGGTACCTGGCATGGCGAACCTGCACCTATGTCTATGGTAATTTGAACAAATGCATTGATATGAACATTTTTGCCAGTATCAATATCCAATATTACTTTCCCAACCCTTTGGACACCATGAAAAACCAGCCACAGTGCTGTGATGTTTCATGCATCCTAAATAACATCCATTATATCTCCCCACCTAAACCACCAGATTGATCAACTTCCCCTTGAAAGTTTTGTCATTGTAGACAAATAAAGTACCTCCTTTCTGATCTAAGCAGTAATTGTTTGTCTTTGTCACTTATTAGCAGCCGGTCACGTGGCAGCCATCCAAAGATGGGGAGCGTCTGATTGGTCGAATTGTCCTGAACAAGAGGATGAAGGACGGGACGGTTCCTGCAGACACAGGAGCTCTGCTGGGGCTAAAGGTCAGCTACTGTTTCTTCTTCCTTTTTAACGCCTTCGTGACATTCACTGCCTTGCTCATGGGCGACATGTTTACAGGTTGTTGGTGGGAAAATGACTGAGTCCGGTCGTCTGTGTGCATTTATAACCAAAGTGAAGAGAGGAAGTCTTGCAGACACTGTTGGACATCTGAGACCAGGTACACATAAAGGCTTACTAAGGCAGAAGCTTTACTTCTAAAAAGGTTTTAAACAACATCTAACTGCTTACTGTTTTAATAAGAGTTAAATATTTTAAAGTGTCTTCATCAAAAGTTCTTCAGTTGTCACTCTTTTTCTAATTTTTTTGTCTGTTTTTCAACCTGAAACAAAAATAAAAATCAAGAGCAAAAATATATAAGTGTAACACAACTCTAGAAATATTTATTAAAATCTTTTGAAAATTATACAGGAGTTTGGGAGCAGAATGTTGAGAAATTAGGCTATAAACACTTCAATCAGTAATGAAAAGCTAAACAAGATTTCTGACCCTGCTGTAGGGTTAGAAATCGTATCCATATTTGGTCATTTTACAACCACAAATTATAATTTAATTATTGAGATTTGATTTAATAGACCAACATTTATGATCACTGAATTGTATAGTGTAATCTAAAGGATTTGTGTTTTTAATATCAAAAGTGGATTTGTGTTCAGCCCCCTTTAATTGAATACCCCTAAATAACAACCCATTACCTAAAGAAGTCACCTGTGTGATTTAATCTCAGCATCCATACAACCTGTCTGCAAAGGTTTGTTTAAGAACATTGATTAGCAGCATCACAAGGACCAGGGAGGACAGCAAGCAGGCCTGGGAGAAAGCTTTGGAGACATTTATAGCACATCCAAAATGTCCAAAACTTTGATTATCTCATAAAACACTGTTTAATCCATTATCTTAAAACTTTAGAGGATATGGCATCTTTTGTCACCTAACAAAATAAATCTGTTTACCTAAACTGACAGGTAAAGATGTCGTTATTTAGATGAGCAACTAGGTGGCCCATGGATACTCTGGAGGAGCTACAGAGATCCAAAGCTGCACAGAACAAACTTTGCACATAGAGAAAAACAATAAATAAGTGTGGTTCTTTTCTTTTGCCCATTCTCCCACCTTTGTTGTGCTCCCAGCCTGTTTTTTTTCCCTAACAAGGATTGTACTCTTAAGCCACCTTTCATAAAAAGCTGACCTTTCATAAAAAGCTGAGTTTGTGGACAATTTACATGATGGTCCCAACAGCAAGCTTAAGGTTACTTTATGCCAGAAGGCTCAGAGCTGATGGGAAACTGGAAGACATGAAGTTTCAAACAATCCTAGAAGAAAGCCTAACCATAGATCCAGAGATACACTGCAATGGTTCAGATCAATCCTAAAATGGCCCAGTCAAAGTCTAGTCCCAAAACCTATTTAAAATCTGACATTAGGTTTGAAAATAACGTTTTAAAGACATTTTCGTCCAATGTGAATTTAGTCTGAGTGATTTGGCATTGAAGAATGGACAAACATGTGAACCGTATATGTCACCACTTACATTTTAGTGTGACATGCAAAGTAAATTCCATACATTTGAAGCACTACTTGTCAATAAAGAGCTTTTTTCTTGTAAAATGTGTAAAGCTGATAGAGATATACTGTGAAAGATTTCATTGCAACAGAATATAATAAGACAAAGTATTTATTTTGGGTAGGGGTGAGAGGGGGTTGAATGAAATGGTTGTGTTTATTTATTTTTTAAATAACCTTAAAGCTATGTGTCTATTTCCTTCAAAGAATCATTCATCCAACCTTTATTCCACTTTCATTTTGTAAAAAGCTTACATTATGTTTTTTGGATTAATTGGTGTTATTTGATTTGGCTATTTCACTTAATGCAATGATAACCCTAACTCTAAGGTATGTTGTGATTTTGTTTCTGGTTTGAGTTTCATCACTCTCTCTGTCCTTAGGTGATCAGGTTCTGGAGTGGAACGGTCGGGTACTTCAAGGAGCCACGTTCAATGAGGTCTATGACATCATCATGGAGTCCAAACCAGAACCGCAGGTGGAGCTCGTGGTTTGCAGACCGATTCGGTGAGTCTTAGACAACATTAGGTCTTCATGGTAAATATTCAGATTGTTCTTCTGAGAACATCTCAAACCTCAAATTCTGTTTTATGAGAACATCATGTTCACAGATATGTGTTGGTTCTTGCTCCAGCAGAGATGTTTCAAGAGCAGCTGATGCCTCCAGTGTTCACCTGGACTCCAGTAAGTTTCTACCCATGCATACAATGAATACGATCAAAATCACAGAACACATAAAACCTTCTAAAGCTCCCCGTTCTTAAAACGTTCTTAAATCTGACACTAGTGGTTCTAATAATGGCTTTTGCTCATTTAAAAACTGTTAATGTGTCTGATGATTTTAAAGAAGAGAGAGCATAAAGTTAGAGGTTAAACTAACAAATATTGCAAAATGGTAGAATAGAGATAGAATGAAGCAGAATGAGGAAAAATGTTCCTCATGTTTTCCAGCAGTCTAAGCCTCTAGCAGCAAAAATTCCCCATTCTGGGGCACTAAATGGATTTTCTATTTCTAATTACATAGATAGCTCAGGATAACCTGAGCCACTCAGATCATAAGCTTTATCAGAAAGGAACGTTTTATGCCTAGAAGAAAAGGTACATACTTGTTTAATATGAACATTGCCCCCCCCAATAAAATTATTGCTAAGCGTTCTGTAAATGTAGCCAAAATAATAAAGTTTGATAAACCTAAAAAACTTGAACAGAAAAAAATCATGTGAAAATGAATGCCAGAAAGTAAGAAAGTTAAAAACACTCTTCTACATCTAATTTGGTGCATATAAACAGGTTAAAACATCTCTTTTTATTAACACTTAGAACTGGTATATCTATGAATGACAAAATCTTACAAAAAATAATAAACACCTGCTTAAACCAGTCAAAATAGGAAAGTTTAACTACTCTGGATTTTGGGTTTAAACTGCTTTCAATGTAGTCTGTGACTTTGTTGGATAAAGCAGTGAAACAGATCTTTGTGTTTTGTATCCAAGGCTCCAGTTCCTTCGACTCTCAGAAAGTTGGCCCGTCCATCTCCGTCACGTCTCCAATGAGCCCCAGCGTTCTATCAGGACAAGTCTCTGTAAGTTCAGCCAATATCTCTGGCCTCACAGTCAGTAATCTGTCACTTAACTGCGGTCTCCATGGTGATGTGTTTACAGAGTGTAAACAGACGTCCTCTGGTTCCCAGGATTCAGGTAACCTGTAGAAGGGAGTTAGAGTTTACATTATGCTTGTTCTGTAGATTAGTTTGAGTCTGTTAGGTTTCATATATAATATAGCTGTTGTCATAGTTGTACTAAACGAGGTTTCCAAATTTGTGTTGTCTTTTTATTGTTCGAAGACATATTTATTGACCTTTGACCTATAAGCATGACAGGATTTCCTTTTGGAATCGTTTTTCATGTTCAGTTATTTCAAATCCAGTTGACTTTTGGTTGTTCTAAAAGGTTAATATTCTTTACTGTGGTCGATCAGAGGTTGCTCAGCAAATCAGTACTAATTTTCCAGTCGCTTGGTGGTGTATTTTTTTTGGTAGCCTACTATTATATCATTCGAAAAGCTTCTTGGTTTGGATTCTAGTTTGTTTTCTTTAGGGGGAGTGGTGGCCTAGTGGTTGGGGCATTGTGCTTGGAATCCTAAGGTTCTGAGTTTGACCCGCACTCCCACAGACTGCCAATCTGGGACCCTGAGCAAGACCCTTATCCCCACACTGCTCCCCGGTTGCTGCACAATAGCAGCCCACTGCTCCCCAAGGGGATGGGTTAAAGTTGAATCTAATCTAATCTAAAGGCAGAGAGAGAATTTCTCCAATGTGAGATCAATGAAGTTCAATTATTATTATTATCGAAAAGATGCTATGTTTTTTCTGGGTACTCCTGCTTCCTCAAACAATCGAAAAGCATTACTGATTTATTGGTTGCTTTAAATTGTCTTTTAGGTGAAAGTATGTGATTTCTGTCCTTTACATCTCTTTTTGCCCTGTGATGTACTGCTGTCCTGTCTAGAGTGTATCCTGCTTCTCCCCAGTGACTGCTGCACTTTGGCACCAAATCATTGTTTAAAATAGAGTAAAAATAAAAGGCTCGACTTTTTAGATCTTCATAAGAAATGATGAAAACAATTTATCTTTATAGTACCTCCTTATTGTGTAACACCTTGTTGTGTTGCTCCTTCATAAATTGGACAGAATTTATACAGAACATTTCTAGACACCTTAATCAAAGCACTTGGTGTTAAATCAACATTCACCCATTCTTTCTAACAAAGCGCAAACTTTAGCAAACTTTAACATAGCTATACACAGATTGGTCGGCATGTGTTAACATGAGATATGAAAAGTTGGGAACACTTTTGTAAACCCTAATTTACCCTAATATATGTTTCGTCAACTTTATTTCAGTAATTTATGCCTAAAAGAATTTAACAACCAGCCCATGTGTAACACATATAATCCAGGTGAAACAGGTGATTATTTTTTCTGTCCTGAACCCAAGTATCTGACGAACCAATTTAGAGATTATAAAAAGTAGTTTTTAGCTGCTGCTGTTTGCCATTGTTTCTGTTTGTGAAGGTTATGTAACAGTTTAATCAGGTGTGGTAGGTTGTCTTTTGTGTTTTTTTTTATTTTAGTTCAATAGGTCCCTCATGTAGCAGTGTATGAATCAAATTGTTGCACTGCAGAGAGTTCCTGCTGAAGTGTCTGTCTGGTGTTTATATGGTTCCACTGCTGTTCTATGAATATACTTCTTTGCTCTAAAGTGTCTGCTCTGGTATATTTGTTTGTATGCAGATCAAGCTGTGGTATGACAAAGTTGGTCATCAGCTGATCGTCACGGTCCTTGGAGCTAAAGAACTTCCTGTTCGGGATGATGGACGACCGAGGAACCCATACGTCAAGATCTACTTTCTGCCGGACAGAAGGTAAAAAAATGGAATAAATATTCAAACTGAGGTCTCTCTGTTTTGTGTTTTAATCAATGTCATGTTCCTGCCGTTGCAGTGATAAGAGTAAACGCAGGACAAAGACAGTGAAGAAGTCTCTGGAACCTCGCTGGAATCAGACCTTCATGTATTCCCCGGTGCACCGGCGTGAGTTCAGAGAACGCATGTTGGAGCTAACTGTCTGGGACCAGGCCAGGGTCCGAGAAGAGGAAAGCCAGTTCCTGGGAGAGGTGAGAACAAGGGGATAACTTAGAAAGGCTCTTCTAGGAACGCTCTCATCACGTTGTGTATGTTCTGTCATCAGGTCCTGATAGAGCTGGAGTCTGCGCTGCTGGATGATCAGCCTCACTGGTACAAGCTGCAGCTTCATGATGTTTCCTCTGTGCCGCTGCCCAATGCCTCCCCCTACCTGCAGAGGAGGGGGCTGCAGGCGGAGCCCTCCCAGAGCAGCAGGAGGCTTCAGAGTGAGTTAAACAACAGCAACACACCGACTTTCACTCCGTCTCATAATTTTTTTCAGCTTTATTGCTTCATATTGATAGATTTTTATCTATTTTCTTATATGCCTGTTTTCTTTTGTTTTTTTATTCCATCATGTTGTTTTTTTAACATGCTTTTCTTTTTCTTTCATCGTTTATGATGCTTTAACAGATAAAGGTCCTTACTTTAACTCAGGTAAATATACCTGTGTGTGTGCGTTTATGTATTTTGTTGCATTCTGTCTGTTAACTCATCGATTATGGGGAACATTTCTGTGCAATGAGGTGAGGTGTGGCTGAGGTGTCCAACTCAAGGCCTCAGGAGCACAAGTTCTGCAACTTTTAGATGCATCCCTGATCTAAAAAGATTAAATCAAACATCTAAATGACCTCTTCAGCTTTACTTAAAGTTAGACAGAGACCCAGTAACAAGCTGTTTATAAACCCCCTGTTGTAGGACATACTATATAGAGATTTTTGGTCAAGAGAGCTGCAAAGTATCTGTGTTTTCTTACCATCTTGGCACCTCAAACTGCTGCACTGTAAAAAAAAAAATAAAAATATTAGTACAGAGCCTTAAAAGTTAAATTCGTCTTGAGAAAAAGAAGCAGGAGCACTTATTGACTGCATCCATGAAACCACAATCAAAATTAACAAAGTATAATTCTGTCTGTAAAACATTTAACTATTCAGTCTCTAGTGCTCTGTTAAAAAATATCTTAATAGGTCTTGAATAAAATCTGTTGCGTTACTCAAATCTTCACAGATTTATGCATTAAAAGTTGCTCAAGATAATTTGTTGGGAGTTCTGAAAGTTCTTACTGATATACTGGTCATATTTAAATGCATAACTGATTTCCAATTGACGCTCGAGATAATTTTATTGAGGTTTTGAGGTTCTCCGCTGCATTTCTCAGATTTGAGGGAACTCATTCAGAATGATCTACATTTAGTTTGAAACAGCTTTTGAAAACAGCGGAATATTTATTAAAGTTTATAAAGCGCTGACTGCGTAGGATGAACATCACTTATTCTATTCCAGGTTGCCATGTCCCGAGTGACTGAGGCACAGAGTTTTGGGGAATTTTATTAAGATTCTCAGTGGCTGATTAACTTAAAACAGAGAAAAATGTTCAAAGTGGAGGAAATAAAATTGTGTTTTTTTATTTATTTTGTGAAAATCGAAATCTGAAAAAGTGTGAGCTGCATTTAAACTCAGCCTGTCTGAGTCGATACTCTGTAAAAGCTGTTTGCTGCAAATGCAGCTACAAGCCTTTTGATTGTGTTTCTTGCAGCTTTTTTTTATTTAGCCCGAAATATTTCCACCTGGGTCTCATCCAAGAAGAGCACCTTTTTCTAAAATGGTTTTGTTTCTTCATTTTGTTAAAGGAAACTCCAAAGGAGACTTTACACGGCTTCCTTTAATCAACGGATTTTTAATCATCCAGCGTTCAGCTGATATGCATCCTATTCCTTCTATCATTCTATATGGGCAGCCATGTTTTGTTAGGTTTATAGTTGTTCTATTCATTTTCCACTTTCAGATGATAAATGAACTCCCTTCTTTTAGATGTTCAAAGCCACATATTTCTCCCCGACATCTCTGCTGTTTTCCTTGGCCTCAATGATGCCTTTTGGTCACTGATGTTGTCGGAGGCTTTCAAAGAACAACAGGATCTATACTGAGGTTAAATTATAAAACAATGGAGATTATGTAGAAAATAAAATACAACAGGTAACATTTTTGCCAAAAAAATTTTTTTATTCTACTCTGAACTTTGTGAGGAAAATATTTTGGTTTGTGGACATGGCATCACAATTCTTAAATACACTTTGAATTGCTCACAATTCATACTCCATGGGGGTCTCCTGAGAAAAAGATCTCTGATGAGTTTTCCAAAAGATTTACGGCACTGGGATTGTTGGTGATTCTCTTAGAGATTTTTAGATGTCAAACATTAAAGATAAAATATTTGATCTGCTTTTAGCTCACCTCATGATCCTAATGAAGTTTGATCAATTAATATCTGAGATATTTAAATGTTCTGCAATTATTCATTAGTCTCACAGGTCTTTGCTGTGATTCTCTGAATTACTTCAAAGCTGAAGAAACTTTTTGATGCATTCAAGTGGCATATGATCCCTGAAGGGTTCAGTGTCCATTTTTGATGGAAAAACAAATTAAGTTGTATTGTATTCCGCAAAAACAATCTAAAAATGATTTCATATTTACCCTCAAATTGAGTAGTTAATAAGATGAACTGCCAATCGAGTTAGTGTTTTCAACCTTTACCCTCAAGGATCCTCTTTCTCATTCTCTTTTTTTTCTGCTTGGCCGTCTTTGTGTGTTTAGGATCACAGAGGATCAGTGACAGCGAGTTTTCAGATTACGACTGTGAGGACGGCATCGGTGTGATCTCAGGTAAACCCAGATTTCCCATAGTGCACTTTAACCTGCTTTGGAGAATAACCTTTTTTTTTTTTCTTTTATTCTGCTATTGGGATTATTTTTGCAAATCTTTAAAAGAAAAGTGATCTGAAGTATAATAATAAATAAAATTAAAATGCATCAGTGGAAAAGTGTTTGAATTCTCCTAATACTTGAGTTATGTTTTTAAATTAGTTGCAATATTTAAATTTTACTATATCTATATAGTTATTTCCAAGACTGTTCTTAACAACTTTACAATCTTTAAATCAAAAATCACTAGAAACTGCTGATAAAAGCAACAACAAAATCTAATGTTTTGGGGCAAATTTACGAAACAATTAAATCTACATGCTGGACCTTCATCGTAGACGCCATTTGTTTCCTATGCATATGATTTTAAAGCTTTTTTCAGAAGTGCACAGATTAATATTTAATATAATTTTTCAATAACTAAGTACAAGCTTTTGATTAAGTCAGTCCCAACTAGCTATGTGAACTAACTGCTGAGGAAATATAAAGGGGGGAAAAGGTAGATAGGCTTGAGGTCAAATATCTTAATATTTTAATTATAACATTAAATTATTGTTGAACTGAATCATAAGGAGTAGTGATGGACATAATTTTCTAAAACTCAAGTTTCTAATAGGAAAACATCTTTTGCATTCAAGGTTAAGATTGTTTAAAGGTTATATATTACCTGATAGGATGTGAATACAGCAGAATCTGCATATATATGAAAGCTAAAATTCAATATTAAAAGAAACAGCGTATAATATATGAAAACCACTTTTTCCAGGCAATTTGTAGGTTGACTGCACGCACATCGTTAAAGCCTATATATTTAAATAGGTAAGTTAAGTTTATTTCTATAGGGCAGTCACTGTAAAAAATAAAGTCTACTCACTTGACTTAAAATTAGGTAAAAAGTAAGTGTGTTTTACCAAAAACCTGACTTACTAACTTTACTTACAACATCACAAGGACATACTAAAATATAATAAATTACAAGACAGGTAAAATACAATAAAACAAAGTCTAAAACAATGTGAAACATTTTAATAAAATTAACATTGTTGTCATAAAAAAAAAAAAACTCCCTGATCTTAAAAAAAGTTTGAATTGGGTTTTAAATATGGACCTAAAAACATCCATGTATACAAATCATTCCCTTATTTATTTTTCTCCATGCAGATTACAGACAAAATGGGCGGGACTTCCACAGCTCCACCCTTTCAGTGCCCGAACAGGTGATCTCGTCCAATCATTGCTCTCGATCTGAGCTGGTTAGGAGGTCCCGGTCACCAAGTCAACCACCTCCACAAAGGTACAGTTTGATATAATTCAGGCTAGTTTCACTGAACTCACTGAGACTGTTATCTCAGATAAAGGCTCTAGTTTCAGGGGAGATTTCTTTTTGGAGTTAAAATCAAAATTTTAACCTTTTATTTGTTAGAGTATGCATTTTGTTGTTAGAAGGAAATCCCTTATTTTTTACCAAACCCTTTTCCTCTTCTTCTGTGGCCCTTAACTTCTGATCGTTGGCCTCCTGTTGCCAGCGGTAACCCTCTGTATCCGTTGTACCGGGAGGATGCAGTGCGGCTGCTGCGAGGCTCCAAACTGAATCGAGCGTACTCTGACGCCACTCAGTATAGCAGTCTCGACAGGTAACCATGGTGAACACGGCTAGCATATCTGACCTGGGTCACTGGGTAGAGGTTAGGTTCCTGCTAATCTGAACATTTATGCTCTGAGTATCTCAATTATTAAATCAGTGAGGAAGCTGAATCCAATCAGTTAGCAGAAGGTGAGTCTGGGTCTGATTAAACCCCAAATGCTGCTAATGCTGGTCTTGTAAAACATAAAAGGCAAAGATGGATATAAACCGGGACCCAGGTCTGAACTGGATGTGGTGTTAGAGCTGATCAATTAAAAGGTTTTGCTCTTAAATTACACCATCACATTAGCACCTGCAGTTGGCTCTGCTTTTAGTTCTAGTTTCTAGCTTCACACCACTGGCACAGGATTGGAACCCCTTAGTCTTACAACTCTGCGTGCACTTGAAGCTTATCAGCTTCCTGCCTGTTAGGACAAAAAACCTGTTTTGCTAATTTTTAATACCAGTTAAAATGTTGGTACTAAGTCTGCGCTTCTGACTAGGGAACAGCTGCACATTTAAACTTAGAGCCTCCTTCTCTCTGTATAGGCGACACCTGAGGAGAATGTCTGTTGCCAACTCTCTCGATTCCTACGACAGGTACCGCTGTAGTCACTAGTTGTAGTTGTAGTGCCAGCAATAACAGTAATTACATAAAAAGGACATGTAACCAGTGATATGCTTTTCTGCATGTAAGATACTTTAATGGTCCACAACAGACCTGGACAAACCATGTAATGAATGGGGGTGTTGAGGATTACAGGTAAGCTTTGGTCGACATGGGTAACATACAGGTACAGCTCTGTAAATTAACTGAATTCAATTCAAACATGAAAATCTAAAATACTGTTGATTGATTACACACAGAGTGATATATTTGAAGTATTTAAGTCCCAAAATACCAGTGCTTACAAATCTGGCTGTTCATGTGCTGTATGTATCCAAATATTTTAAAGGAAAGTTTAGTGGAAGGAAAAATAATTGTTAATAATATTGTTAATAAAAGGCGCACAAGTAATAGGGATGATTGGAACAGGAAAAATATTGAAAAGTAAAGCCCTTCTAAGGGTTTGGAAAAGATGAAGAAGGTGTGGCCTGTAGGTGGTCTCCGTGATTAGAAGGACACCACATCCTGATGTCTACAGGACTGCAACTCAGCTGCAACTGCTGCCACACATGGATCAGAAATGCCTTCTCTGGGCTGAGGAGAACAAGGATTATACAGCCGATCAGGCGACTAAAAGCCTCTTTTAATATGAAAGTATATTTTGAATTTTATTTGGAAATCAACGTCCTAGATTCTAGGGGAAGAGGGTAAAGGCAGAGAATCCATGTTGGTGGAAGAAAAGAGACCTTTCCTCTCTGACAGATGTTTTCTGATGCTGCTGATGTTGGTCCACTGTTATATAAAGTCCACAGTTAACTTAGTCATCTACCAGGATATTTGAATGGACATCATGCTTCAGTCTTCTTACCTGCTGATCTAATGTTTAAACCTTAGCTCCTGTTCTGAAAGCCAAAGTTCTTGATTGACTACCAAACTTATCAAACCTAATCTGTCAAGAAGTAGATGAGCGACAACAGACCTGGAAGATATCAGCAATGCCACATGTTGATCAATCTTTAAGGCGGAGTTCATCCAAAAGGAGACCCGACCATGAACTTTATTTTCATGATCTCAGCTATGAGCATATTTATATATTAATAACTTTTAATGTGTCAGACAAATTTAGCAAAAATGTTTAGTCTTCTAAATCATATTTTTATAATGAACAAAAATTAACGCTTACAATAAATCACTCTGCATAAAATAAAAAAAAATTTAAAGAAATTATCTTGATCTTGATCTTAATGATATTCTAATTTATTGAGCTGCACCAATATTGTGGAAAATAGTCAGAGATTGAGAAATTGAATGCTTCGGAGTTTTGATGTTCTTCTGCTCTTCAGTCAGGACTTCATCCCAGACTTTCCCTTTGAGCCAGATGCTTATGACGAGGAGCTGCTAAGGTAAACAGAGAGATAGCTTATAGATAGGACGTAGTTGTAGATGTAGAGAATAGATTGGCAATGCAGACATTATTCTTCTCCTTTTTGGTAGTCCTTCTGTAAATATCTGGGACTCGCTAAACTCTTGACATTTTCCCTTCCTCTCTGTAAGTCTGACAGATATTTATTTCCATTACAGGCCAAATCTTTCCAACCCTGTTCTGTCTTTGCTTACTTCTCTTTCAGACTTTACAGGAAATTTTCTGCCAAATATTTTTCTGTTTTTATTGTTTAAACTCCTGCAGACGATGCCTTTAAATTTTCAGATCCACAGGCGCCAGAACAACCGACTAACTTGCTTCCCCAGATACAGTGGTTGTCATAGTGACAGTAGGTGACAGTTGTCATGGTAATACACAGGTACAGCAGGGGGATGGATCGGAGGGATTACTACAGCCGCTCTCGCTCTGCAGACCAGCGGGCCATGGCCGACAGACCCGTGTACGCGCGGTCTCACTCCACAGACCGAGCTGACTCCTCCCACTTTAGGTCTGGCCGCTCTGCCCCCCCTTCGCCTGCACTAATCAGGTGACCTGCAGCCGACCAATCAGGAGACCGATCAAACTCCATGGTGTTTTTCTAAGTATTTTTTGGAGCATGGAGTCTGGCTTAAAACCTATAACATCTTTTTTCTTTTTATCACAAGCCTTGTTTCATTTGTATCATCCCACCACTAACCAACTGTTTTAACTTGCTTTGTTTTTGTTGCATGTCTGGCTACTGAATTTTTTTGCAGCATGTTGCTCTGCATGTTTTTTTTGTTTTCTTTTTTTTTTTTGGTTGGTTTGACGGTTGTGTTGCATGTACCCTGAGCAAACATATTTTGCTTTATCATTCTGCTTCCCACCTCTTTAGCTTTAGGTGGAATCACCAACATGTGTAAAGAGGATAAAATATACATTTGTATTCATTGTTGCAGGCTAAGTTTAGAAAAAATCTATAATCTTTATTCTGAGAATGTTAACACTGCGAGGGTAAAAATCCTACATTAAGAATTTAAGGAAAATCTCCAGTGTATTACACAATCTCTCTAGATTATCTGGAGTCCTAGGTCCTCTGTTATAGATGCTCTGCAGTTCAATACATGACTTATCTATAGGATTAAGGTCAAAGGGACTTAGATGGCCATAGAGGCTGGCTTTGTGTTTGTACAACCTCTGCTTTTTTTAACCTGATCTTCAGATCAATATTTTGCAGAGTTTCGAAGACAAACATTTTTATTTTATTTTCTACACTCAATTTATTGAGTTCATGTTACCATGACTTTAACAGGGTTTATGTATGGTATGTATATTGGTAAAAAAGAACACTTCCTCCCCTATGCTTAGCATTGGGATTTTAGAGCTTTTTTTTACTCTGTTTAAAATATCTTTTTGCTCTTTTAGCCTAATATCTATATTTCTGTTGCAACTAACCAAAGCTAACTGTTCCAGTTAAAATTTCAGTTTAGATTTGACCTAACTGACATTTTTATGTCTTTGTTTTGTAGATTTACTAAAATTAAAAGTTATGTGACAATAATAATAATAGTTACGCTACTATTAATCTTAGTTGGGCATTTATATGATAAAAAAACAACTAAAACTACATCGTATTATATAATAAAATGAATATACATTATCTCACTCATTAATTTTCAAATTATGGTATGAATTACAAAAATGTTTTCTTGATATTTATATAATTGGAATTTTCCTACAATAAATTAAATATGCTATAGTAGGAAAAATATATTATTTTAAAAGCTACAAAAAATATAGTATCTAACAAAATTGAATAAACTGAACAAATGTCATCAATATAAAGACTAGATTATAAAATCAATGTATCATCTCTTGTGTTATTGTATTAAAAGATAAATTTATTTAAACGTTGTATTTATTCCAGTAGGTTTAAATAAATATTGACGCCATACTTGATCTGGTCACAGAGGACATGATCCCACATCATGCATTAAGACCTCCCTATCATGCCGCTGGCATTAGGTTTTAAAGTGATTGTTCATTAATGGTGTGACTGAAGATCGTTCATCTGGATCCAGTAGCTTGTTTTTCAGTACCAGCCCAAATCTTCATAACATAAACAAAAGCCTTGAAATTATGTTTTTAGAAACTCTGACTTTCTGACTCATTTGACTTATTTTATTTCTGGGTTTTTTTTTTTTTTTTTGTTGCTGTTGTTTTTCGGTTTGATTTAAGGTTTTTTCAATATTTTGTTTTTATTTATTTTCTAACAGGGCGAACGCCCGCGTTGGATCCAACATGACCAGTCCGACCGGAACCACAGTCTTCCCTCGACGAGGACGCCAGCTTCCTGTTGTCCCGCCAAAAGGAGCTCTTGATCGAAGTATGTTTGCTATAAATAAAAAAAAGCTGTGACCACCATTCATTTAGCTTCATCACAGCATCAGTTCAAGTTCCTCAGGACATTTTATGCAGTGTAAAATACATAATCAGATCAGTTCAATATAACCAGATCAATACTATAAATATAAATTAAAAATAAATGCTACAATACTTGATGTACTGTAATAAATAAAACATTTAGAAAAAAGTTTCAAATGTAAAATTATTTAAGATAATCAACATATTGGTCAAAATATTTGCAGTGATTTCTGTTTTCATGCAAAGTAAGACACTGACAACCTTGGGTTTAATGTTCTGGTTTTGCAGTATTATTGTTCATTGTCTGAGTTACAATAAAGGTTTTATATTAATATTTTCTGTGTTTAAAATTTGGCAAAGTGCTTTTGTTTTATGGGAATTAATCTGCCAGGTTTTTCCTTTTATTAGACTTAATTTTGACTGTTTTGCCAACAATTTTAAGGGTCATGGTAGAGAAAAATATTTTCTAGAAATCTTCCTCAGTTTTGTTTACAGAATTCTAAAAAAAAAAAAAAAGATAGAATGATGAGAAGAAATTTGAGAATTTTTGTTCTGAGTCCATATTTTCAAGTCATAATTGTAGTGGAAAAATGCAAATGTAAGTGAATTATAGTCCAAATCTTCTTGAGTACATGTTCATAGTTTTGTGTCTAAAAAGAAAAAAAAAGAAAAAAAAAAAACTTCTTATGAGGCTCAGTTCGTTTTCTGTGCTTTTCTACTTTGTGAAATGAAATTATTTCATTAAAAAGACAACGTTTAACTGTCAGGGAATTTATTACCTTTTGGACAAAAAATAGAACATAATCATATAGAACTTGTAAGGCTGGTAGCATGCATAGTTCTTTTTTTTCTGCTTGTTGGTTTTCGGCTCCTTTGAGGCTTTAGCTGAACCTGCTGATGGAGGTTGTAGGAGTCTAACGCTGAGTTGTTTCTTTCAGATGGAGAACATTTTGACTCTGTACAGACAGGTACTGACTTGTGCACCTGACTATTGTCTACCTTAGAAATAGAGCCATCCTTTGATTGTGTCGTAGCTTCAGTTGTTGATACATGCAGGGTTAAAGTGTTTATTGGTGGAAACAGATTAAGATGTGTGTGAAAACACTCCTTGTGGGTTGATCTGGGCTTAGCAGGTGTGTCATTGGTTTGCTCTCTGTGAGCAGCGTGTGGATCTGATGCACAGTAATACGGTAACAGTTTGTTTAGTGGAAATGATCTGGAGCCAGTTCTGCCACCTGCCTTGCGTGTTGCCTTCTCGCCGTCTACTAGTCATGTGATTAGGTGGTCTCTGAATCTGAGCATGTTGTCATTCATACTCTTGTTGTTACCTTTCATGTTTTTCTGATCATCTTTTTGTTCCCCGTCTCCAAACCGTGCTGCTTCTCATCAGTTTCGGCCACAACAACTTCAGGACCACCATCAGCCGCCCCACCCCCTCCTCCTCATGAAATCACTCCCCCCATTCAGAAACAGATATCTTCTCTAGTCAATCACCAACAGCCTCCCCTTATACGAATTCAGGGACCCCCAGCTCATCCACCTTCCTCCTTCTCTATGCATCCGACTCCTTCACCTGCACCCCCACCAGTACGCGCACCTGTGCCTGGACTCACACCCCAACTCGTACGCCCATCTGTGCCTCCACCCACATCTTGTCCTCCTCATGCCCCCGGCCCTAGACCTGCCCCTTCCCCAGCACCCGCAGCCCCAGCAGCACCTTTAAATGCCCCCATTTCTGTCCCGACCCCTGCTGCCACCCCAGCCCCCCCTCCTCCACCTGCTCCTGTTCAGCCTCCGCCTCCCGTTGTCCAACCCCAGCCACCTCCTGAACCAACCCCGCTGCCTACACCTGCCCCAACACCTACACCCGCCCCGTCCCCAGCACCCTCACCAGCCCCGCCCCCTCAGACTCCAGGTGTGTACTACTGACCTGTTCATTCAGTGTCCCTCCTTCATTTAATGATTCATTTACTGATTCATCTGACTGTTTTTTACATCATCACATCACGTCTGCATGTATCAGATACAGAGAGACGCTCAGCTACACCTGGAGGGACCAGAAAAGGCAAGTTCAGCATCATGGTGATCTGATGATGTTTAGGTGCTCCTGTTATAAGCTTTGGGTTGGGATCACCTGAGTGATAAGGGAGTGTCATCTTGGTTTGACCAATTGAGTGTCTTTTTCTGCATGATGCAGAAGTCACATGGGAGGACCAGCAGAAGAAAACACCAAATGGTACAGCAGCACCCACTTAGCTTTCCCCAGGTGTAGACCGACAGTGCTTAAATCATGTGTTTTGACATTAGTCGCTTGAGTGTGTTTTAAGTTGGTCATGAGAGGATTTAGATTTGCTTTAGTTGGTGCTCCTTTAGTCGTTCTCCAGCCTCCTGTACAGCAGTACAGTCTCACTTCGAATTAGTGAAATGTGGACGCTTGGTCAAGCCCCTGTGGCGTCAAGAACTGACATGACGGGGGTAATCCTGAATGCCATTTTTTGACACGCAGGGTGTATGACAGGTTGTGGCAGGACTATACGAAATTTTCCACGACCTACAAAGAAAAAAAGTAGCAATAAACCATCAGTTACCCTAACCCTTAAACCTAAAGAAACAGTATTAGACATGTTACCACCAACAATAACTTTGTTGGATAAAATGTTATTTTTTTTTATTTCTCACGAGTCACATGATACAATGTTCACAACCTGTCATTAACCGTGGACCTCAGTATGTCACGAAATGGGTATGAGAATTTCTTGCAATACGTATAGACATCCATGGGCTATTATTTGCTTGTAGAGTTGTTGTTATTGTCATAATTTTTTTGTGGATATCAAATTCATTTAGGAGTATTTTGTTGTTTCTCTACTTATTAAAAGATTAAATGATCTTCTATTCATATTTATGTCAGTGTCTTGTAAGTTTCTCAAAGAGAAACAACACAAAATTCAGTTTTTAATATTACCGTAAATGGGACCAAGAACTGAGCTCTGAGGTACACCGTGAGGGTGTTTGTGCTGTCTGAGGGGAACTCTGTGTTTATGAATATGCATTGGTCAGTGTTCGTTTTATCCTCATCAACTTGTATGGTTGATCTCCTTTTGCTGTCACTGATTGTTGGTGCTTAAAGGAGACGTGTTAACGGCGAGCAAAGAAGGTAGAGATCCAATTTTTTTCTGCTCCGTAGATTATTTTTGAGCTGCTGAGACTTCAACCTGAATTTTCAGTTTTGTGCAGTTTTAGAAAAGTTTTTAGTTCTAGCAGACGTCTAACCAAAGCTTGGTTTTAATTAGGGATGCACGATATAATCGGCCCCCTATCGGTATCGGCCTGTATCGGCCTTAAAACTGAATATCGGACATCGGCCACCCCACCAATATTTAACCCGATATTTGATCAGCTTCTGGGTTTCTAAAGTCTAAAAAAAAAAATACTACTACTTCTTCTTCCTCAAAAACTTCTTTTTTACAGACTTAAAAACTTCTAAAGACGAGGGAAAAAATATTGATACATTAAAATATCACAATATCTTCATATGCTGATATATTGCCATTTAAAAACACCATATCAATCTCTTTTACTAATGAAATATTGCTATGTGTCATCGTTATGCTACGAAATCCCCCGAAAATTCACGAAATTTTGACATATTTTCATATGTTGATATATTGACACGTTATCGATCTATTTTACTAACAAAATCTCAAAAGAATCATATCGGATATCGGACAAAATCCCAATATCGTGCATCCCTAGTTTTAATCTCTGGTAAAAAAGACGGAGAAATAAACAGTAATTTGACATCTTGCTTCTTACAGTAATATCAGACATAGCTTTTGTTTTTATTTTTTGAATGTTTAGTCCCAGAAAATGTTTTAGTCCTGCTTGTTGTGGCAGAAATATATGTGTGCCTTCAAATCAGGAGAACCATTCACACACACAAACATGGCAACTACTTTTTGCAGCATTAAACTAATGATATTTTTATGTCTCTGTAGGTGTGATGAAGGACCCCACTAAGGTAAAATACTCTAGTTTAATCCAAAGCAGCTGCTTTAATACCACGTCCCTCACTCGCCTGTCTGAATGTTTTCTGTCTCCAGATGAGGGATAGTCTGTCTTTTAAATCATCGGACAGTGACGTCAGTGACGTTTCGGCCATGTCCAATGCATCTGAAACCAGAACCGCGCTCAAAATCAGGTGAGAACCCTGCCCTTTAACAGCCATATCTGAAGAGAACAGCAGTTCTGTATTATTACTTCTGTTTCAGTGCTTTAGAAATGTCTCTTAATCTCTTAACATTTTAATCTTCTAAGATCTTACAGCACAGACTGTGATAAAATGTATAGGGATTTGACATAAAGGATCATGTATTTGTGGAGTGAATAAATTATTGCATCTGAAAACTTTGTGATGGAAATCTGAAAAAAATTGTTGTGCATATTCAGCCCCCTTCTATTTTAATCCAATCCAACCAATTCCCATCAAAAGTCCCCAAATAAATATAGGGGTGTGACCTGAGAGCAAGAGTTAAAAGAAGAAATCCCACAGAACTTCTCTTTGCAGGGGCTTTTGTTCCAGAAAGTGATCGACTATTTATACTGCAGATAACCCCAAACAAATCCACCCAACAAAAAAGCAGGGTGGTGGTTCCGTCATGCTTTGATGCTTCTGTTCACCAGGAACAGGGAGGCTTGTCAAAGCTGTTGTGCTCCAAATAAAATCAGATAAATCTGAAAATGAAAACTTTTGAAAAGATTTAAAACTGGATGTTTACATACTCTCAATTTTAGCTAATTTATAAAGAATAATCAAAGATTTTAGACAAGCAAAGCAGATACACATACACTCCAAAAGAAAATTCTGGCTCAGTATATCTATAAATTGTAATGAACTTACCGTACTAGTTACTGCATTTAAAAAGTAACTTCAATACTTATTACTTGATCATTTCCAATATTTTTCTGGACAAAAAACCCCCCAAAATCATAGTGATCCCAAAGCTGCCTGCAGGCAGGGTTACAGATCACAGCCTTTGTTACCAGAACCTAACACATCGACAAACAGGCCTGAGGTAACGCAGGAAATGCTGTTACTATAGTCTAATAAAGTAATTTCATTATCAGTAATTTAAGCATAATATGTTACTTTACTTCATCATCCAAAAAAGTAAAAAGTTATCCCCAACACTGATTTTCAATTCAAACATGCTACGAGTGAAGTTCTCAAAATGTGGCCCTACTGCTTTGGGTTTGACTGTCGCCATGCATTGATGCTTTGAGCAAAAATTAGGGCTGCCACTCACATAAACAGTTAGGAGTCACAGTGCAAAGCTACTCTGCTAAAAATCAACACTATGCCTAATTACATTCATCCATTTCATCCCCCCTTTATATAGAAAGACTGTAGATAAAAACATGTTTATTTGAAAATACATTATATATTGAAATTGTCTGTTCACTGGATTCAAAGTGGAAGTGAAGTCCAATTCCTTCTTTTTTATTTTTTTTTTACTCATAACTGCTCAATACCGGTTTATTCTGATTCAAATAACATCCTCAAGTAATACATTAATGGTTGTGGTTTTATTGTAATGTGACAAAACACGCGGGTCTAGAAACAGGTCCACTTTTGTATCATAAAGTGATTTATAATAGTTATTGGGGCTCAGATCTCTGATTATGCAGTTTATACACATTCTCCTACCCTTGGTCAGTTCTATTACTCAGTGTTGAGTTGAATGTTGAGACAACATGATAGCCTGGATGTTTTTAAATTTACAGCTTGCTGTACGTGTGTGTTTGTGTGTTTTGTTTTCTTTATTTTCTGCATGTCATTTGATAATGTTTGCATGTCCATGTTGCTCTTTTTTTTCTTTGGTTCATCCTGTTGCTGTTTTTCATCTATCATCTTCTTGCATGTCATTTATCTGCATGCTGCTATCCTGTCTTCTGATTGGCCGAAAAAAGTAAGGGGGAGTCTTTGGAGGGCCAGTCGGTGGATCTGGGGGCAGAATCAGAGGGGGCACAGGAGCTAGAAGAAGCAGCAGAGGGCGAGGCAGCGCTTCACAAGAGCGAGTCGGTGGAGGAGGGACTAGAGAAGGAGGCTGAGTCTGCAAAGTAAGAACAAAGCACTGTTTCTCCAGTCTGCAGACTCCACCCAATCATTGCACCGCTGGTGTACTAGTAGTAGAAACAGTGACGTCTGCACATACCCTTCATGTACTGCTACACTTAGGGGGATAGAAATCATTTCTTTTGCAAGTCGTCTTCCCTCCTGCTGGGGTTTAGCTTTTTCACCTCAGGTGTGCTCTTATCACTCAGCTACACCTGACTGTCTGGTTTGTATTTGCCCCTCTCCTCCTCCTTAGGTCTACTCCACTTATTTTCTGTGATAACTGAGAGGTATGTAATTTTTTTTATGCAGGGCGGCCTCTACTGCCGGTGCAACCCTCACAAAGTCCTCTAGTGTCGGTGGAGAGATTTGCTCATTAGGAAGAAATGATGACGATGATGATGACAAGAAGCGACGCTCCAGCTTTGGGGCAAAGATGATGGGAATGGTTGGACTGGGAAAGAAGAGTCAGAGCGCATCCCAGCTTAATCCAGAAGGTCAGTCCCAGTCAGTGCTTAATCCAAACCGATGGATCTTTTTAGGAACATTTGATTTTTTTAAAATATAAAAAAATGTATAATGTCTGATTATGCACACTTGTTTATTTTTATCTTCTACCAGTTACAATACTACTAATGTCTACTATACTGTACATTTCAAGCACACCTCTGTTTCCATAAAATCAATTATGTAATGCTTTCTCTCTGTATCTTGCTCATTATAAAATTTAGCAGTCTAAGTGTCCAGTTTAATCTACCATCCTCAAGAAAAATTAAAACAGAAAATACATTTTAAAGATTAATATTTGCCAAGAATACACACTCTTTCTGTCAGCATCAACATGCAAAGTTGGTTCCTATAATGGTGAAGTTTATTGAAAATGGTTTGCTTCCTGGTTTTAAAGCAGTGGTTCCAAAGTGGGGTCAGGAGACAACTGGGGGGGTCACAAGATCATTTTCACTGTGATTTGATACCTGAGGTATATGTATGTCCTAGATATATTGCAAAATACATAATTGTGAATGTCCCTTGACATAAGAAAATTTACCTTGAAATAAAGGTTTTCCCTGTGCCATTTCACTTTATTACACATAACCTTAAGTCTAATCCAGAAACTAAATGTTTGCCATTTTTTTCTGCCCAAAACGGGTTTATATGTGTGTTTGGGATCCGTGTCCTAATAGAACCCAACTGTGTCCAAGCATAAAAAATGCTTCAGTACCACTGGATGACATCACCACCTTCTCAATGTTTGTTAAAAGTTGTTGAACGTTGTTTCCTTTTGTCCTTGTGGCAAAACAAATCAATGATATTCTTGACAGACCAAATATTTGCTTGTCTTTGTGGGGAGCTTCAGACTTCAGCTGAGCTTGAAGTGTCGATTTTCTAGCAAGATTTTGTTTTTTAAGTCAGCTCCCACAGAGGGCCATATCGGCGTAAAACAGTTTTCAATGTGGATGACGATGCTTTAGCAGGTTCCAGTTAACAGCAGGTCTTCAGTCTTCGTAGTTTTTAACTTAACATTAAAATTGATTTCATTTTTATTTTATTACAGCATCTGCAGAAGTTATACAGTTTCTCCATTGATTAGTTACAACGGAAATCTATTATGGGTTAGTCTTAAATCCAATTCATGTGTCTTTTACAGAGGAGGAGAAGAAGAAAAAAGTGATTAGACTTCCTGTCCAGAGGAGCGTAGAAACTGGTTTGGCCATCGAGTTTAAGTCCCGATTCACCAGACAGCCTAGCAGAGATCCAGATGCGGAGGATCCCAAACCAGGAGCGTATGTGAACTTTAGCTCAATCCTCCTTTTTGTTTCTGTTGTTCCTTTTTCCCTAAATTTGTCAGTCCTCTTAAAAAAACCATCAACTCAATACAACCATACCTAATTTTAAGATGTTATGACTTACTGTAATTTGAAGTCTACCTGTCTCAGTCTTTTATTTTTTTTTTATTCTTTTTTCCTCTTCATCAAGCTCATTTTATCCTTTTTTTCTTAATTTTTCCAATTGAATGTTATACGACAATGTGTAAAATGTTTATTAGCTGTTTATTAACTATTAACTGTTTGCCTTTCTCTATATCTTGTCAGTCTGATATTTCCGGGAGTGAAGTTGGCATCAGATAAGCAGTTCACAGGCTTCCTGGAGGGATTAGGTCCTGGCCAATTGGCTGGACGACAGACTTTGGCCACACCCCCCATGGGTATTACTAATCAGTATCTAAATGTTATTTATTGTAGTAATTCAGCCATATATGCATGACTCCCTTATCGATTTATTTTTAAAGCGAGCTAAAATGACTCCCTCTCACCTGTGGCGCTCTCTGTTGATCAGGGGACATCCAGATCGGGATGGTCTACAGGAAGGAGCGGCTGGACGTGGAGGTGATTCGGGCCCGGGGCCTTGTTGGGAAACAAGGCAATAAGAACACTCCAGGTGATAAAATCCTTCACATTTTCTAATGGTGTAAAAAAATCACACCTTGCTGCACCAAACTGTGATGTTTGTAAATTAAAAAGCAACAAGAGAAAGATTCCTTAACCTGCAACCACAGCTACAGTATAAAGGATTTGATCAAAGTTTATGTAATGCATTAGAAAAGTCCAGAGATTCATTTCAGGAAAATGGGCAAAATGTTTATATAAATATTTGTAGATGCTCTCTGTACAGTCAGACTAGGTGTTTAATATTTGACCATAAAAAGGAAATAATTACATTTTAAAATCTGGTTGAGACAAGACCAGAAAACTTGCGGTTTTAATTTTAGTGAAAAGAGGTTCAGATTCCAGTTATTTCAGATTTACTTAAAAAAAAATAATAATTTCACTTTGATCTACAAAATTGTGTTGGTTTATAAAATAAAATCCAAATAGTGCTAAATGGACTCAAGTTTATACGGTGCCCCTCATCCATGTGGTTGATTGTTTACTAGAACTAGAAATAATATGGTGTAAAAATAAAGGACTATTTGCTGAAAGAAATAGGTTAGGTAAAGAGACTGTGGAAAAATATTATTTTATCAATTTTTCTGCTATGTTTATCATCATGAAGTGATGCCAGTATTCTGTTAAGAGAGAACTAAAAGCATATCATTACTAAACAGGGAAAAAAAAGGAAAAATGCTTCACCTAAAATATCAGGATGTACATATTTTCGACAGGATCAGCAGTGTTTTAATAATTTTTGATCTACTATCACTATTTCTCGTGCCCCTAATTAAGAGACTATATTTGCTCTACATAAGGTGTTGCCATAAAAAAAATAGAAAAGCACAATTTTATTATAAAAGGTCAGACATTCTATAATTTTTAATGCAGATGAGCTTTGTTTGTGCGTTTAACCAACTGATACAAGATGATGTTTGCTTGTGTTGCAGCTCCGTATGTGAAGGTGTATTTAATGGATAATGGGAAATGCGTGCTGAAGAGAAGGACGCGTCTGGCAAGAAAAACTCTGGATCCACTTTATCAGCAGCAGCTACAGTTTGAGGAAAATCCTGAAGGAAAAGTGCTACAGGTAAAATCAGTGAAAAAAACAAAAAAAGGTTTCTCTCCAACATATTCAGAAGTAAAATTACTCGAGAATATGTGGTTTTCAACACAAACATGTAGAGATGAAAAATGAAGCGGATGATACTTAGTTTGGATATTGTTGATAGGAAGAGAATCAGTTTTGTTCCCTAATGATAAGTAAAACATTAGTAGTTTTATGTTTATAATTCATAATTTTTTATTATATTCAGGTTTGTAGGTAATTAAATATTCATATTTATGCTAAAAATAAAGCAATATGTGGGAAAGAAAGAAAAAAGAACAAGGCACAGGAGAAAGTCGCCGTTATCTGCAGCAAAGTCACACGTGCAATACCCAGTGTTTCCAGCAACACATGATAAATCGACCTATCAATAAGAAAATAATAAAAGCAAATTGTTGACCTCACAAAGTTAGTTCATAAGGTGGAGATAATTAATTTTTCATCTAATTAGGATGAAGACGTCAGAGGAAATATCTGGGTAAAGACTTGATGATAGTAAAAGTGCTGACTCACAACTTTATGTGGATTGATTATTAGCAGTCTGGTGATCGTCACCTCCTAAACAAGCAGTTCCCCTCTAAACCAGAGGGTGGCAGCAGTGATGCCCTCAAGTTCAATCTTAAAAGTAATTTGACATTTTGTTAGTATATTAACCACATGGATACCAAATGTAATAACAAAGTTAATTACTCACATCAATATACTAACATTGAAGATGACAAATACATAAATATATTGGGGCCCTGTGGAACACATGTAACTTGTTAAACATGTGTGTGAAAAAGAGATCAATCTTTATGCCATACTAGGTGAACATCTATTTGTAAATATCTGCATAGATTTATTAGCAATGCAAATCTAGTATGTCTGGTGCTTTATTTAAAAAATAAAGATGTTGCTTTCAATAAATTTCCTGCGCCCTGGGCGTCAGCCCATTGCTCCCTAAGGGGATTGGTCAAAATTGCAGAGAACGACTTTCACCATTGTGGGACAATAAAGGGATTTACATTACATACTTTCCGTCAAATAGGCAGTCAGCCATGATGGATTTAACTCTTATTTAACCATTTTTAGCCTCTAAATTTGATTGAACTCCTTTCAATGGCTTATGACCCATTGCCTTGAAATTTGGTCAGTTTAAAAAGGCGTGTGGAGTCTAAAGGCGAACTTCTAGAGCTTTTGATTTACAGACTTTAAATTCAATATGTTAGACTTAAAGCATTAGGGATTTAAAAGTTATCAAAATGTTTTTGCTCCATCAAAGCATTTGGGCATGGCCAAAATTGGACCTCTTCACATAAAAGAAAAAAAATTGTCCCAGGCCAAGCTTCTACTGAGAGTATACAGAAATATACCTCTCCAAAACAAAAGTCTCTGGAAGCCATTGTCTAAAACACCGCAGAAGGTCCAACCTTTTGGATCAGAGGTGACATTTTTCTCTCATTTATTCATGCCAACAAAATTGGACTTCTTACCAAAAAAAGTCATGCTGTTGAACCTGACTTTTTTTTTTTATTTGCTGTGTATAATTTACAAACAGCAATAAACATTGGAATCCACACCAATGTTTGAATATTTAGATTTTAAAGGTTTTTTATTGCTTTAAAATAAGGTCTAAACAAAACCTGCTGCTGATTCTTTACCTTACATGTACTTCCACTAAAAAGCTTCCAGTTCAGTCAGTCACAGTAAAATACTCTTATATTACCAGGTTTCATTGATTAGATTATCATTTGGAACAATTACATGAGTTGATTGAAGTGATTTCTTTTTGCTATGATTTCTTTTCAGACTAGAAATCCTTATTGCTATCAAATGCAATATTAAAATAAATAGCTAAAAATAACATTAATATGTCTTTAAATGTCAGGTGTTGAATTTGTTTGTCACTGTAGATCATCGTTTGGGGCGACTATGGTCGGATGGACCATAAATCCTTCATGGGAGCTGCTCAAATCCTGTTGGATGATTTGGATCTCTCCAACATGGTGATTGGCTGGTTCAAACTGTTTCCTGCCACCTCACTGGTGGACCCGGCTTTGGCCCCGCTGACTAACAAGGAGACAGAAGGCGCCAAATCATAGCATCAGGAGACGGGACCGACTGTGTCGTCGCATTAAACGGGCCAAGAGCGAGTGGGAGGGGACAAATGGTCGCTGAGTCCAGTGATCCTCCTGTGCTCCTGCATGCTGCATGATGATGTCACAATGATGACGTACCAGTGCCATGAAGAAGTCATCGGGCGGAGGGAGGCTCCACCCCTCGACGGGGAGAGGACAGGACGGGTTCGGCAAAAGATGCTTTGAAAAGAGAGGCCAAAAGACTTCTAGCTGCCAGCCAATCACAATAGATCCTCTGAGTCATGTGACAGGAGGCGAAATTAGAAAGCTGGAGACTCAGTCCGTCACCTCAGTTTCCATGGAGATGCAGGAACATGGAGGTCTGCTGCTGTACGTTTTTGCATGGGACGACAAAAAGATTAGAAAAAAAAAAAAATCTGAAACATCAGCAGGAAAAAAAAATGTTACAACACCGGAACGTCGCCTGAAAACTGGAAAATAGTTCTTCTGATCCATCATTCATGTTTTTGTAAGATATCCCTGACATTTCAGCGTTGTCACAAACAGCTCATTTTTCAGAGATTACATAACGTGACTTTAGATCCATGATGGTTCTCTAAAACATTGTCAGTCCTGTAAAGTTTAATGTTCTGCTGCTATGCCTGCTACAGCCTTGTTTTAAAAAAACTGGGATGCTGTATAAAATGTAAATAAATACAGAATGCAATGATTTGCAAATCATTGAAACCTTTTTTTTTTTATACGTCTTTGGTTTGTTCAGACAAGAAGCGACCTTGCAACTGTACAAGCATAAGAAAACATACATTATAGTAAAAAGATGGGAAATAGGGACTTTTTCCCAGATTTTTTGGGGGAAATTTGTTAGGAGTTAGAAGACAGAAGAAGCATGTAAATATATACAGAATATGATGACTGGCCAATGATAAAATCACTTTGCTAGCAATAATAGCCTAAAGTCCTCTTGGTCTCTGCTGGCTTTGAACAGATTTGATTTTGCGAGTTATCTACCATTCGTCACTATAGATCCTCTCAAGCCCCAACCAAATTGGATTGAAAGACATTTTTATTTTTTCTCAGATATTTTGAGTTGAATTAAGGTCCATAATTTACCTGCAGTACTCTGAGGCAAACCAAGACTGTTCCTGAGCCATGTTTCTCTTATCCTTGCAACAGGGATCAGGTCTTTCTACATTTGCCTTGCCTGTTATCTTACCTTCCATGCAGATTGCAACAGCCAGTTACTGCTGAAGAAAAAGATCCTCACAGCATGATACTGCTACCACCTAACTTTCCAATAGGGATGGTTTTAGCTGGGTGATGAGCAGTGGCGTTTTAGCTCAAGTCCAGAGTTGAGGTCTCATGTTTTTGGGGTAGCCAGATGATGATTGAGGATTCAGGGGTTGTGTCACAGCAAAGTCTGGGATCCAAGCTTCATAGACTGTTTCTAGCTTCTGCTCTGATGTAAGGTAAAATAGGACTCTAGAAAACGTGATCCATCAAGCACCACAGCTAGAACATCCAAAGTAACATCTAAAGCAGGGGTGTCAAACTGGTTCCAGAAAAGGCCGTGTGGCTGCAGGTTTTCTTTCCAACCAAACAATAGCACACCAGACTCCTTTCATCTCATCAAGTTATCATTTTCAGATTAGACTCACTTGATGAGATGACTGGTGTCTGGTGTGCTATTGTTTGGTTGGAAAGAAAACCTGCAGCCACACGGCCCTTTCTGGAACTAGTTTGACACGGGGTTAGGTAGAGAAAACAAAATGCAACAGTTTCAAAGGTTTATGCACATTCTGCTGCTCAAATTCAAACCAACCTTTCCACAATTTTTTAACAGGGCAATTAGGAGCAGAATGTTAAGGAAAACATATATGTGGTCTATTTTGGAAGAAGACTTCAGCATAAGATGTGAAGTGAATATATTCCAAGGTGCCTGGAAAAGATTTGAAATTTCGTTTTCAGTAAAATTAAATATCTCCACTCTACAGCACCAACATTTTGAGGCAAAGAAACTTTAAAAGACAGTATAAAATGGTTGTTTTTACTGCAGTGTGGCAATGATCTGCCAGCTTCTTCTCTTACTGCTCTAAAATATCTGTTTTCTTGTCTATTAGCTCACTAAAATCCAGACTGATTGTATATAGAGAAATAACCAATTATGTTTCCTCGTTAATACACCAAAGTCTTTTCAGGTAGTAGCATTTTTGTGATTTTTACACAAGGTACATTTGATGTTACTTTTAAGTAAATGCTCAGTCTAAATTATAGAAGTTTAAAAAGGGACCAAAGGAAAGGCATGTGTGCTGAAATATCCCTGAAAATAAGTTTCGTATTGTATTCAGTTGAGAAATTTTTAAGTCATACATTGAATAGAAAAACATCGAGGTTCTGATTCACATTCAAAATCGGAGGTCCCCAAACCACCATGGATTCAATATGGCTCCAACAGCTGTACAGGTTTGGCCAATTCTAGAGCAAAACTTGTAAGGCTCACATAATGTAAGGCTTCACCAGCAGAGGGCAGCAGAGTTTAGAATAATGCAGATATGGGAAAAAAAAAAGGAATACACACAAAATAAAAAATTTTCACTTAATATTTTAGTGGTTCCAGATCATGTGTTTAATCCTAAATATACATCTTTAGTTTGTTTTAATTTTGTGAATAAAATGCTGACTTCTGTTTTTACTAAATCTGGAAGCAGTTTAAATAAAATCCTTTTATGAGCAGATCATTTAGACAAAGCCATAAAAAAATTAAAGGTAGTCCTGGTTATTGTGACAACAGAGCGAAGACCGAAGTATACTTGGTAACAAAAATGTGAAGCCAAAAGAGATTAAATCTCTCGAGTCAATTCATTTGATGTGAACCTTTAATCCTTAGTGCAGTTTACCAGGTTTTAGTTTTACAGACACAAAGAAAAACATCAAACAAATTGGATCATGCAAGTCAGAAAAAACTGCTCCACAAAAAACACACAATAATAATAATAATAACCATCGTAATATTAAGAATAATAAATATTCACAATCACACTCACACATGGTCAGCTGAGTACCAAAATAGTAACAAGGATCAGAAATACAGATGCTTAAATGGCTTCAGTCTGGGTACAGAGGAGGAGCCACAACTTAAAAAAAAAACATTAAAATTTAGATGTGATTAATGCTGTCGCTCTGCTTTTGACCCAAGTTGTGTTACCTATTTGACTTTTTAGTCTTAATTCTGCTATAGAAACTGTCTGAAGTGACAGAGCAGAAAAAACATCAACTTGAGAGGACCAGATAAGCTAAACAACAGCATGACAGGTGAACAAAATAAAAGTCCATGACCATGATGAGGATCACATGACCTGGTGATGTCTTCCTGCATCAGCTGCACATGTGCTGCTCTCTGCAGGATCAATGTGACCTAGTACCTGATAAATACACCCATTTAAATAAAGCTTGATAAAATGACATTGTGCTTTATATTTCAAAATACAATAAAACTCAGTCTCAGAAATGTAACAGAAAGTAAACAAGTGTAATTGTATCATAAGCTGTGACACTTTTGTCCCATATTATTCTCGACCATGCTCTTTTGAGCAGGTGTCACTTTCAGTGACTTTACATTCAGCTAAATTCAAAGTCACATCTTAGCGCTACAAGCTAACAGAGTAAAAATCATGGAAATTCTGAACAATTAAAAGGGTTTTTTGGCCACAGAAAAATAAATCTTAAGATAAAATCAGCCTGCTAGGAGGCCTCTTTGACAAACCCCACCAGTCATGTGATCCACATCATTCCCTTTTCCCCCTTAAACAGCCTCAAACGACAGCCTGAAAATTTCAAGGACCTTTGAAACATTATTCTTTAATCGAGTTCCCAGAAATCCCAAAGTCAGGTCGTTCCTTATTAAAAAAAATGATATCCTTGCCTACAGAGTACCATCACTGTCCAGGGATCTCTTTACTTTCGTACCAATAAGCACCCTTTTCTGACGACCATTTAGTCCCTTAGATTCATTTTGTGACTGTAAACAAAATAATTGGTACCTATGTGCTTGAACCACAGCGTATCAGTTCAGGTTTTTGCTACAGTTAAATATTTTTCAATTATTGGTATAAATAGAAGAAAAGCCAAAATCTCACCTAGAATTTAAGATAAACCGGATCCACGGTGGCATTCCTTATAGCTACAGTTAGTTGCTGTCTGATGTTAAGACCCGGGATTGAAGTACCATCCTTTCATTTCCAAACATGCCTGGGTTTTCTCCATGTACTTCAGCTCTCTCGCAAAGTCAAAAATGTTTTATTTCAGAAAGGTTTTCACCTATTATATATAATGGAGTCTTTTAACAACATTTGCCTGCATCCAGCGGCACTCTCCCGTACCTTGAACAATGGGTATGACGCTAAAAAATGGCAAATGGAAAAAATGACTAGCGCCTCAACGCGTAGGGTTGGCATGGTAAACAAGCAAAGGACCCAAAAAAAACCTTAATTATTTTTTTTTGGTTGTACCGAAAGGTAACAGTGACATCACAGCAGAGCTGCTGATTGGTAAAGATTTTTCTAACCTTTAATCCAGCTAGCATGCTAACTAACTGTAAAAGAAGTTCGATAAAAGCTCAAGCTGATGTGTTAGCATGTTAGCAAGCTAGCCATTGAAGTGAAAGCCTTGGCTAGTATCTATAGCATTAGCTAGTTGGTTAGAAAAGAAGAGTTAGTTTGTTACTCAGTGTTAGCATGTTAGTCAGGCGTTTAGCAAGTCTGCTAGCTGCAGCTTTGGAGAGAAAGATGTCAGCCCTGAAATTAGCATTATAGCCAGCAGAGGGGTGAGGTTAAGAGATGTATTAGCATGTTGTTTGGATGTTGGTAAGTTGTCTTGTTAGCGGATCAGTTGGTTAATGTATGAAGAGAGGAAAAAACGATGGACAGTTAGCATGTTAGCTGGCAGGTTAGCCTGTTAGCACAGCAGCAGCAGCTCATCATCGCTGCTCTCCGTCTTGCCCGTAGCCTCGAGGCATGCGTCGGGGATCTGAGCTGTGTGGACCATCCCACAATGTTCACAAGTACCGTCCCGCCCATTCTTTCCACGATGATGATGATGATGATGGGGGGTGGGCCCCGCAGTGGAGGACGGGTGAGGCTCCAGTAGAGGCTGTCGTATGTCGCTGAGCGATGAGGAAGAGGAGGAGGAGTCAGAGTCAGAGACAGGGATGAGGAGCTCAACATCTTCCTCTTCCTCTCTGCTTGCCCGTCGCATAGTAGCTTCAGCGCCACTTCTTCCCGTTTCCAGCTGGCGCAGTGGGCTGTGATTGGTCCAAGGTTGGTTCTGCTGGTTCTGGTTAGTTCTGGTCAGATTTCTAGCGAGGCGGTGAAGGTTCTGGGCCAGGCGTTGCAGGGCAGTGGATGACGGAGGCTGGGGCTCAGAAACTTCCCTGTGACATTCAGGATCGGAGCCGGATGTCACCACAGTAACAGGACTTGAAGGGGGCGGGGTCTCTCTGGGACGATCACGGTCTTGGTCTCGGCTTGGCGTGGAGGTTACAGATGCAGCCACTGATACAACCGCCTCTACAGCAGAAGCGGGCGGGGTCTTGTGGGGTAGCGGGGCAACAGGCCCGCCCACTGCCCCCACTCCTCGCTCCCGCCCCCTCTCTCCCTCTGTGTCAGTGTCATCAGAGTCAGGAGACAGCAGGTCCGAGCCTGAACTCCCTGTACTTCCAGTGCCAGAGCTATCCTCCAGGTCAGCAGATACCAGAGCAAGAGAACCAGAACGACGAGAGCGTGAGAAGGTGAAGAGTCTTCTCCACAGGTTGCGATGACGACCAGAGGAGGGAAGTCTGATGGAGGTGAAGCCCAGCTGGGAACGCACAGCCAGACGCAGGTTTTCCAGGACGGATGCCTATGGAAGAAGACAGTAAGAAAAGACTCAGCAGCCATCTTTGTTTTCCACAGCGTGATGTAGCTCTAATAAAACGCATGATTATATTTTTAAAAATTACTTTGTTTAACAAATGTTTACAAGTTTATTATTCTACAAATTACCTTATCAAATATTAGGAAATTATTGCTCTATCCTTAAAAACTCTGTTCATAGTATGTTTGAATAAAAACTATTCAACTAAATGCTTCCAATTCTGATGACTTTTAATAATCTTGCGTATCCTTGTTGTCAGATACAGATGTAATCTTATAGACTTTCAAATATTTATGAAAACAGAATGGGTTAGAATTTTTCTAATGAGCTGAATGATGGGGATTATGTTTGAGTTTTGAAATGATCTTTATTCTAAACCATTAGTGTCCGTATGTGTACCTGGTTGCCGGAGCACACTGGAAAATCCTCAACTGGTGGGATCAGGCCCTGGGCAATCAGCTGTCCATAAGAAGGCGGGGCCTCCCTCCTCAGCAGCTCTGCCTCCACTCTGGAGAGCTGGGTCTCAAATGACCTGCAACAGATTGTTTATATTTTTCATTTTCACCAAAGTAACACAGCGGAGAAGATTGAGAAAATGACCCGCTTTGCACCGTGTAAACCCCTCACCTGCGTTCAAACATGCGCAGCGAGTAGAGTTTGCAGGTACAGCCGAGGGCGATGACCAACAGGAGCCCGCAGATCAGGCTGCCGATGACGGCTGCTGTGATGACTCTGGTGGGAACGATGATGGGACAGCTCTCCTCGTCGCTGCCGTCCCCACAGTCGTCCTGTGCATCGCAAACCCACGACTCGAACACGCAGCGATTATTCTGAAGAGAAAAATAAAGCTTCTAATATCAAATTTATATTTATTTAGATCATCTTTATGGACAAAATAAAATTGTTTTACAGAACTAGAGGACAAGATCTGGAACAAGGTGTGCCATCTGTCATTTAAACATTAATAATACTGCCTATGAGAAGACTATTATGGTATATTTTTCCTGACCCCTAATCACTTAAAAACTCAGAATTTGCCAGAGGTATTATTTGGGTGCTATAAGCTAAAGCAAAAGTGAGCAAGACTAGATAACAGGATAGTGAGCAGGAAGATAACAGGAAGGCTGAACTTATAGAAGAGAGGCTCTTTTTATTGTTTTGAGCATTTTAATTTCAGTCTGCTTGCAGCCTTTTGAAAACCCCCAGAGAAACTCACTACCAGTCCTATGCTAAAAAATATCGGCTCTTTTAGCATTGGGGGTCGCCAAGTAAGTCAATTATTTATATAGCAGCCATTACATCAGGAAAACATACATGTCCAAGACTGAGAGCAAAAAAAAAAGGAAAAATCTAAAAGATAAAAAGGGGATAAAAGATAAAGAAGCATAAGAAAAAGAGCACATTGTGCGGATTGCATGCAAATGAAAGGGTCGACTATGTTGCATTGGTTTAGTGGGAGTGATGCAGTGCAGGATTGTGGGGGTTTAACTGAAGCGATGAGGCACTATGATCAGTTTTTTTTCAATGATATCAAGAGGGTTTAAAAATCATTTTAAATGTGACATTGATCAATGATTTGATTTGGACCAACAAGTATATTGAATTGAACCGGCTTTAACAGCAATATCGATACCAGCCTAAATATTCATATCTGTGCTTCTTTAGGAACTCACTCACTGTTATTTTTGTTTGTAATTTCCTTAATCATAATTGGCTTAAATCAGTAAAATATAACAGTCTTGCATTATAATAAATATTAAATAGGGATTATATCTTTAAAAATTGACAAATACAGGCTTGTTAACGCCGATACGGTACCGATTATTTTGACATTAGTCTAATGTGATCTAGATGTAATCCCAAAGTGTCTGATAGCAAAAGTTAAACATTATTCTTATTTCTCTGGTTGTTATTTTTTAAACATAATTTAGTAATAAACTTTATTTTAAGCCTTGATAATTAGAAAACTTATAATCCATTCATTACAATAGGGCTGAAAAAATTAATCAGATTAATTGATTATAGAAATAAATGTAGTAATCGATTAAATGTTAAACTGGCATATAGAGACTTTAAAACATGTCTTTAGCTGACAGAGGGACCCATTTAGATCAGTATCTATACCAAAATTAAATAAAAGAAATTTAAACATTTTGCATTTAAGATTAAAAAAAAAAACTTGTCTATCAATATGCTCTTTCCAGAAATCCTCAAGTGAAAAAGTTTTAGTTTCCCCTGGTTTAATTTTTCACAAAGTCTTCTTTAAGGAACCATGGGGTATCTGATTATTAATCGATTAATCAAAAGAATAATCAACAGATTTGCAAACTAATGCTTAGTTGCCGTGCAAATAAAAATTTAATAAATGCTCACCCCCTTTTACAGATCCAATTTATATTTTTTTAATCCTGAACAGTATTAGAGATGCAACCGCTGCTTTAAATCCCCAATAATCCATTTGTAAGCAAAACAAAAAAGAACCAGCATATTATTAGATTTCTGACTCTGTTTTTTATTGTATTCTTCAGATCCTCAACCTTCAGAACAAGAAATTTAAGGAAAGTAGTGGGCTAATAATAATTTATTTTGGGACTGTACATTGGTCAACATTTCAAATGCCTATAGGATTGCATTTAGCAGTTGCATTTATGAATACAGAAATGATTACAATTTAAACTAAATTATTGCTTGTCATGCATAAAGTGGCTGTTATTCAAAAACATAGAAAGCACTGCATATTTCAATGAACTAATTTATGACATGGTTCCAAAAGGACCCTTTTCTTTTGGCTATTAAGAGGCTCTTAAACTAACCAGATACAATTATAGATTTAAATAAACTAACTCTTCTAAAGCATAAAATCAATATAAAACTTCTCTATAAAACAACTCTCCATTGGACAAATGTGCCATTTAGTTTTATCATATTAAAACTGTTTACTTTAAAGAGAGATTATATTTATCTGCTCCTTTAACAGATTTATGAAGGAATCCAATCATCTTAACATGTTAAACAACAAATGGGGAAAATTATATCTGTTCAAAGATCTGTCAGTGACTGGAGTTTTTTTTTTTTTTTTTTTTTTTTTGTTACCTTGCAGTGAAAGTTTCCTGGCTGGCAGAAGAAGCAGTTTTTTTCATCTGACCCATTGGGACAGCGGTTCTGATAGTTGCAGCGGTCTGAACGAGGGTAGCAGGCTCCGTTCCTAGAACAGGGGAACTCGTCCTCCTGACAAGAAGAGCAGTTCAGCTCGTCCCGACCGTTTGGACAGTGCCAGTACCCGTCGCAGCGCTGCTGCTCGGTGTAGCATCCCCAGTTTCCCCCACAGGGAACCTCCCAGGGCAAACAGAACCCATCCACCTGAAAAAAACGCACAACAACCAGGTCAAATAGAAATGCGGGGATGTTGGATTTGAAGTAAACCATTTAATCCAAATCTTAGAATATGGAGAATCTTTACAGAAAAGTTTTTGATTCAGACTATAGGAACCGACCTGATAGGTGACGTTGAAACCTCTGGCTGCATTGATCTTATCAGCATAAAAGTGAACTCTGAGCTGACCGGAGGATGAAACCACTGCGACTGGAGCTCTGGAATCAAAAGCAGTGAGCACCCTGAGGAGGCGGCGCGGGTTCTCCTCCAGACCGTCGTAAACTTTAACATAATCCCCATAGCCTGTCCCATCCAGTTTAAAGTCTGTAAACCTGAGGATAACCTGCAGAAGGGAGAGACTGGGATGAAGAGAAGTTCTTCTTTCCGTTTTCTGTGTTTTAGCTGAGCCAGTCTGAAATTACCTTCCGATGGTCTCCGGTATCAATCAGCCACGTGCAGTTACTTCCAGGAGGGTAAAAATCTGGGTAGTTTGGAGAGCTAAAAGAACCATAGAAGTTCCTGAGCCATTCTCCACAAGTGGGAACGTCACAGTCGATCTCATCACCGAGATCCTGGAAACACAGAAAACAACTAATCAAAAACGTACTGCTTGTGAGCTGCTTGTTAAATGAGCTGAAAATACACACATGACGAGACAGGAAAGAGTCCTGATAAGAAGGGTTTTGTTGGGAAGGAAGATAAATATAAAGATCAGTGCTGTTAGCTTACTGCGCTTGTGCCATTTTCAGTCGTGTTTTTGTGATATTTTGGTTGTAAAAACAAAAGCTCTGCCAATAGGAATGGAAGTACAAAATCTCTTAGTGATAAAATTAAAACTAAATGAGTAATTTAGTAATAATGTTTATGCCTTTAGATTTAAACTTTGCAACTTATAGTCAATTCATTACACAGGAGGTGACTTGTTTGGAGAGTTCATTATTTATGACTGTGGTTAATATCTCTGGAAAAGTCCAAAAATTGCACATCATAAAATGGAAATGATTAATGATAAAAACAAAAATTAATAACAGAAATGTGAGCCTTTTTAAAAGCATTGCCATGTAGAGTACAGAATAAGCACTCAGGAATATAATTTGGGTAATTTATGGCATTAATGCAGCGTGGTGTGAAAGGCAGTCTCAGAAACAGAAACATCAGAGGTTACAGCAGAATTCAGGTTGTTTGCATGCTTGGGTCTGTTATTTATTTATAAACAATGCTTATTTTCCATTACAGTCTGACTGATTTACACCAATTTAAACATCAATGACAAGAGTTTAAATCCCTGCAACGTTTCCTGAATCTAAATGAAATGACTTCATCTAACAGACTTAAATTATATTCGTAAGATGTTTTATGTTTATTTGTTCTGTCAGTTGTCTGCTTAACATCCAAGCTGGACCTTTACCTGGCAGTCGATGCTGCCGTCGCAGCGCAGGCTGTGGGGCAGGCAGGTGTAGATCCGGGTGTACCGCGACAGGCAAGGGAACTGGTTCATGTTGCAGGGTTGGAAGGAGAATGGGGAATCCACACACAGCTCTTCGTCCGAATTGTCGCCACACTCATCCATGGAGTTACAGCGCCACCAGTCTGGGATGCATTTTCCATTGGAGCAGTGGAACTGGTCCACATCACAGCTGGCTGCCTCTGCTTTACCTACAACATTTTCACTCTTTATTAAATACAGCTGAGCAGTAAACCTGAAGCATTTTATCAGAGTGTTTCCCTAACATCTCCATTTAGTCCCTGCTCAGAGGATTAAAATCTAATCCAGAATTACATCACTGCATCCTGCTCTCTGAACAACCGTTATGCAACAAACAGGAGGGCATGCCAGACGCGGCGATCAAAGGATGACAGACACAGAAAGGATGCCTGTTGAAACTACTACTACTGAAGAAATCAACACGCCATCCTCACCGGTGATGTAGGACAGTCTGAAACCTTTCCCTGTCAGGTTTTCGTCAGAGTGGAAGTGGATCCAAACGTGGTCCTGTGATGAGATGTAAGGGGGTGGCAGGGAGGAGCCACAAACGCGCAGGCCATCCAGGCTTCTGTAGGTGCTGATGGACATCCAGTCGGAGGTGCAGCGATGGGAGCCCTGCAGATCAAAATCTTGGAAACTGCAAAAAGAGCCAGAAAAGAAACACATAAGTAAAGCCGAGACTTCAGTTTCCTTCAAATGTTTTGTTTCTTTTCCTTAAAGAGAATGACTGAAAAAATACATTTGATTTAGAAAACAAATGTATCAATAGGAACTTAGTTTTATCTTTCTTATTTGAAATAGGGATCAAATAGACTTATGTTCACTGAGATAAGAAGTCCAGTGAGCCCCTAAACATATTAAAGCCAATCCTCATTACTTATAACAGGAACCTGCGACTTAAAGCTTTTATATTGGCAAACACGGGTAGTTAACAGATTTAGCTTTAGGCTTGAACTAAAACAATCCTGGCTCAGATGGACGGCGAGAATCCAGGAAGTTCCAAAGCCCATCAAGGACTGAGCAGCCGTCCAAGAAAAAGGAGCCCACTCCAAAATAATCCTTACAGTTTGTGTACGATCTGAAAACATTCGTGAAAAGTGGAGACAGAATCCGCTCCAAAATATCTAACAGAGCAGGAATAGAATCCTACAAACTGATGACATTGTAGCCTTTATAAAGTGGGAAAAACAATAAAGGAATTTTCACTATTTTTAATAGCAAAAAAAATGCCATGGCTAAGATCTGCAAAGTGGAAAGATATTCAAATAAGGAAATAACCAAAGAAGAACTAAAACCAGTCATGGGGTAAATTAAGCAAGCTAACTATGAGGCAAAAATATTTCAAAACCTGCAGTCCAATGTCTAACCAGAACTCTGCTAGAAGCTGCTTCAGAAGGGAAGGTGCAACTGGAATATTTAACAAACATTAAAAGCTATTTAATGTATAAGAGGGAAAAAAAGGTAAAGGTGTGATTACATTCCCTGTTTTTTTACCTAATGGTGATGGAGTCTCCAGGTCGAGCTCTGATGTTCCAGCTGCAGTTCAGCCTGGATGGGTACTGAAAAGGCCAACCCGGGCTTGTGATGACGCCGCTGGACGCCCGCAGGAGCTCCGCCACGTCGCCGCAGGCTGGAGGGAGAGAAAACCGTTTAGTTCTGTTACAGTTTAACGTCAGATACAAATAAATACAAATGGTTAAGATGTCATCTTCGAGACCCTGAACGCACCGTTAGAGAATCCAGACACATAGACGTTGTCGTTCCTTTGAGAAGAAGCGATGCATCCTGGGAAAAATGTAGGTAAACCAATGAGAACATCAAAAGGTACATATCAAGTTTATTTTTATCCCAACATACAGACATTACTGTTTTTAAATAAGAGCAATCAGACAGAAATAATTGAACAAAAAAAGATGAACAAATCCAATGTTTTCCCCTTTTCCCAAACAGATTGTTTGATGATCAGCATTATGCGGATGATCCGATTCTGTTTTTCCTATGGAGGATTATGGGATGGATTAACTCATTTTACTGGTAAACAGTGGCTGTATACATCCTTATGAAAAAAATAAAAGGGGAAGTATAGATGCATGCCATCTAATTTTATCATGAATAAATATTCTTACTGAATCAGGGCTGCATCTATCAACTATTTTAGTTCAAATTTGGAATATAGAAAAAATACTTTTACTATGCATTTTAGATTCATTGCAAAACTTAAAAAAAACATATACAAAACATTAAATAAATACACATACATACATATGTAAAAACAATTTAATTTGTACTTGAAATATTGTAAATATTTGGTATTGATACATATTCATATATGCAGAGTTTAGTCTTAATTACTGCTGTAAAGAGGCTGTTCTTTCAACAAATGGCATTTTCAGAGTGTGTGTTTGATTATGTTTGGGTACCATATGATTTAAAATTGGTTGACAATTATTTTAATAACATACTATTTAGGATTAGTCAGCCATATTATGAACCTTACTAAAAGGCAAGCCATTATGTTTTAGAAGGGTTAAAACAGTAGCACAAATATAAGGTTTCAGGTAACTAGAAATCAACAATATGTACTTTCAATTCCCTTTTAAATTTCTATTTTGGTTTAGATGTAAAGGTTGGGAAAATAAGCTTGAATGTAAACAGAATATATTGTAAACCCAACATTTTTGTTGGATTAAGAACTACTGCTAAAAAAAAAAAAAAAGAAATTGGATAAGAAAACTTACAAAAAAGTTGTGTTTGCAAGAGGTAGTCTAGAAAAAAAAAAAAAACTGCAGTACTTAAAAAAGAAAAAGCTATATGCTGTTAATAGAAAAAAAAACTAATAATGTAATACAAACGTTTATTATGTTAAAACTATAATTTTAGATATGGATATAACTATGTAACTATCTCTATATAGGTGGGAGTGTTTACAGCTAAAATAAAATAAATATATGATCCAGATGTTTCACTTTTTTTGTTTTTCATGACTTCAAATTAACATAAAGACTTAATGACTCATCTAATTTCAGAAAGGGTTTTATTCTGGTCTTACCTGACAGAAGGAGCAGGTAGATGATGCTCTGCCTGCAGTCTGAGCTGAGGGCCATGGTAACCCCGGTGTCGGAACCAGCTGCAGGGCTTATTTTTGATCGATCTGATGTGTGTGGTGATACCAAGGTCACTCAAGTGAGCGCTGCATGTCAGCCGATCACAATAAAAACCGTTATGTCCTCTTTATTACATTAAAAATACTCTAATTTCGCAGCTAAACGTGCTAACGGTAACAGCTGACCTGCGCTCGCACCATAAAGCAGTTTGCTGCTGGAAACAAAGACATCTGAGCCCGTTAGCCCCAGCTAGCAGCACTACGGTACCGCTAGCTGTTGGCAGAAATAAAAGGCACAAGCTGCACCGTTTCAACAAACAGACACATAGTGATATTAAATACGGTTATCTAACTGCAGCGACGACACAACAACGGCTTACATAAAACCTGGACACAAATAGACCACCCCAACCAAAAAAGAAAGAAAAGAAAAAAAGCTAACTGACGGTTTCCTGCTAATGAGCCTAACGATTGGGAAACTGGCCCATTAGCAGCCAACTTGCTAACGGAGCTACATGGCCATCCAGCCCGTCCACCGCCACAGCAAGACCTGAACCCCAGAGCGTGTGGGTAAACTCGTATCGACCCAAGTAAACAGAGCCACCGGAGCCAGATATAGACAGAGCTCCCGTAGCTCTGCTTATCGGTCCAACAGCATCCTCACTGTTAGCGAGCAACAACAGACGCAGAGAGAGAGAGTGAAGCTCCGTCAGAGTGACGTCACAAACTTTCTTTATTTGATCTCAGCATTCTGACTTAC